GCTTTTATCTCTTTGTTGTTATTTTTTAAATAAATCCAGTTGGTACATCAGATGGGCACAGGTTTCATGATCTCGACTGCTGGCAGCTGTAGGGAAATGGTGCTTAGGCACTGCTGGTGGCACCCTGGGGAAACCAAACTCCAGATGATTGGGCTCCACCCTGGGAAATAACCTTTGCCCCCAAGAGGCTTGATCGAGGATGCTTGATACAGCTTTGTTGTTAAGTCCTGTCAGGTTGGTTCCGATGAGTAGCTGGTGAGCTCGAACTGCCAACCTTGCAGTCCCCAGTGCGTTAACCCACAACACCACACCAGGACTCCTGATATAGCATCATGTTGTTGTTAAGTGCTGTCGAGTCAGTTCTCACCCATAGCAACCCTGTATAGGATTTCTGAGGAGCAGCTGGTGAGCTTGAACCTGACCTTGTAGTTCAAATGGCTTTGCAGTCTGGCGCATTAACCCACAGCGCCACACCAGGACTCCACGATACATCATCATGGGTGATCCAAAATAAAAAAGGGAAACAACGCAGCTGTCTACCTGAAGAAGTGTTGGTAGACTAATGTCCCACATCCGTGTCCTTGTTGGGTGCCGTTGAGTAGGTTTTTGACTCAGAGCCTCCTGGTAGTACAACCCATAAGCTGTTAACCAAAAACTTGGGAGTTTGAACTTAACACATCCCTCCTTAGGAGAAAGGCCTGTTCCCATAAACGTATAGCCTAGAAAACAGTATGTGGGTCCTGCTGTGGCCCCTAGGGTCTGACTCCTAGCGCCCCTGTCCATAGGTCAGAGATCTGCCCCATCGAGTTTCAAGACTGAAATCTTGATCGAAGCAGACTACCACATCTTTCTCTTGAAGAGCGGCTGATGGGTTCAAACCGCCAACCTACCTTTCAGTTAGCAGCCAAGCACTTAACCACTGTGCCACCAGGACTCTTTGCTATGCCCAAACCATGGATTAATTTTCAGCAGCTAGTAAAAATAAGGAGCATGGCTAAGAAAGGGAAAAGAAAAATTGCAAAGCGATGCCTGTAGTATGACAGCTGTAATTTAAGAACTACACAGAAACTGGCTGTGAACACACACAAACTACGTAGGCAAGATACTGCAGCAGCTTTTACCAGGGGTGACTGCACAGGTGTTGGGGGCCAGGGTAGGGGATAGTGATCAAGAGACTGATCAGTGATACTCAAAACATAATTGTAAAAGACAAGAGTGCCGTGTTGCTTGTGTAGTGAGAATTGAAACGTTAAAAATAAGTTTGGCATAGAAACATCTTTTAATACACAAGGAAAACAAAACAAAACAGTTCTTGGTGGGGTTTTTTTGTTTTTCAGTTGAAGGGCCAGCACCAGCATCAAAGTGTTCCCCAAATCTCTTCCAGATGGAATATTTTATATTCAGAATGACTGGGAACACCCTCACCCACCCTTTTAAAAAACATGTTTTTCCAGTTGTGCCTCAGCTGACTGCTTTTCCAAGCACGTTCAACCCCATTTGTTTCCTCCACTGGGGAAAAGTGCTGTTTGTCTTGTGTCTAGCTCTGCTCTGACCGAAACACCACAGACAGACGTTTATTCCTTCACAGTTAAGGGGCTGGGAGTGAGTGGGAAGCCTTTCTGTATGTGGACTCTGGAAAGCGGTCTTAGGTTCTTCAGTCTGGTTTCCTGGTTCTAGGGAGCTCTCCATGTGTCTGGCATCTCTCTTCCCCCATCTCCGCTCACTCTCGATTAACCCCATGAATCTCAAAAGTCCTGGTGGCACTGTAGGACAAGCACTGGACTGTTAATCAATCACAAGTTCTGCGGTTCAAACCCACTAAGTACTCCTCAGAAACCCTATGCAGTGTTTCTGTGAGTTGGAACCAACCTTTTTTTTTTCCTGAACTAACTTGAAGACACTTACAATCTTGAAAGGGATTAACTCAAGGCCACCCTACTACATCCTGTGATATTGAGATTAGTTTTGCAAAGACAATCCATTCCCACATGGGATTATATCCTAGAGGTCAGGATTTACAGCACATATTCTGGGGGGTGCACAATTCACAGCACTATTTGTCTGCCATCTAGGACCCAGTGTGCCTCCAGGTCTCATGCAGGGGAGCTGGGGGAAGGGACTGAGTGCTAGTTAGCCTTGAGGGGGGATTGTGCCGTTCTAGGGAAAGAAGGGAAAAGGTCTGCCAGAAATGGTGGTACCTCCCTCAAGGAAGCAACTGGGTAGCAATTGGCAGAGGCAGGCTCTGCCACCTGAAACAGGTGCCCTCACTTCTGAGAGGTTCAGCCTCTTTATTCACCCCAAGGGGGCTAATGTGGTCATGGTAGTTGGGCATCATCAAATCACTGCCAACTCATAACAGCCCCATGTGACAGAGTAGAACTGCCCCACCGTTATCTAGGCTGTAATCTTTATGTGGTGTGGAGGGGAAGGAGATGCACTGGACTGCGAACCACGCGGTTGGCAGTTCAAACCCAGCAGCTGCTCCTCAGAAACCCTATAGAGTTGCGATGAGTCAGAATCAAAACTTGACAGCACTTAACAACAATCTTCAAGGAGCTCTGGTAGCGTAGTGGTTACGAATTGGGCTGCGAACCGCAAGGTCAGCAGTTCGAAACTACCAGCTGTTCCTCGGGAGAAAGATGAGGCTTTCTGCTCCCGTACAGATTTACAGCCTCGGAAACCCTGTGCAGGGTCGCTATGAGTTGGAACCAACTCCACGGCACATAACAACAACAACAACAATCTTCATGTTGAGCAGATGGTCAGTAGCAGGCAAACACTAAAATAATCTCTAAGACATATTAAGTGGTGGTTGGTGGGGAGGGCATCAAAGAGCAGCTTGTCCAGCCTGCTAAATATGAATTCATAAGGCATGTGCAATGTACGGTACTTCCACATGGAGTCTGCCAGTTCACTTCTTTCTTTTTTAAATGACATTACACCAGTTGGACCCTTTCTCCATGTCTAATTCAGTGACATAGATGCCAGTCTGTGTGTGTAACCATTCTGACCCTCCTTTCCAAGTTGTTCCTTCCCTGTTCTCATCAGCTCACTGCTCCCTCTCCTATCAGCCTTTCGAGTTGCTGCAGTTCACATTTTACTCTGTTCTATTGCCCATCTCCACCCTTAGCCTGTCTTTTCATTTTTCCTACATCAAAGTCGGTTGCAGGTCACCAGCTAATCTGTTTTCAGGTCACTGGACCATGAGTGGTGTCTCTGAACTACCTGAAGAGTATTTCAGAAGCACGTGAAACATGAGCTGGCACCTTCCCACGGTAGCGTTCGCCCGGATTTTATTAGCACCAGGTGGCTGGCTAGTTAGTGCTCACAGGTGCTTTTGAGACTCGGCTGCCCCCTGGCCCGCAAATGACTTGCAGCTGAGCAGCCGGTCTCTGGTCTTAAAGGACACAGCTGATCACTTCCCTGAGGTCTAGCAGGCAGGGCACAGTGTCAGAGCTCCCAAGTTGATGGGCTTGGAGTTTTGGGGAGCCCCTGCGGGGAGTCTGGCTGTCATCTCCTCCCCAGGCTGTTCAGGTGGGAGTGGTGACCTTGGAGCTTCCCTTCAATCCGGACTCCCATTTCCCCAGGATCATAGGGCTGCATGGGGCTGCACCATGGTGGCTAAAGGCAAATGCCCCCTTGATCCCTGGTTTCCCCTCTTGTTTCCTCAGATCTTCTCTGCCCCTCACTCTCTGCTGTGCAGTCCCCTCCTCAACTCTCTCTAGCCTGGTGACCAGCCAGTCTCCCTTCTTCCAAGTTTTAGTTAGCTCCTTCCTAGAAAGAGGAAGGTCCATCCTGCTGAGGTCAAAGCTTGGCTTTGTTGGTAGCGCCCCCTGGTGATGACAGCTGAGTGCCAGAAGTGTTCATTGGCTCAAGCATGTCTCCAAAACTTGGACAAATATGATAGCACCAAGGAAACACCAGGCCGTGTGCAGGGGGCACACTTTAACTGGCTCGGGACTTGCCATCTTCACAAAGACAGCTTGCCACGGTGTCCACTTGCTCTCTGAGCATCTCTTGGCTTCTTCCCCAAACAGGTGGTTGTGAGTTGTAGTTGAGTTGACTCCGACCCGTGGTGACCCCGTATACAGCAAACACTGCCCGGTCCCGCCCCCTAGTTGGCATGCTCAAGTCTGTTGTGGCCACTGCATTTGGAACCTTCCAACCTAGGTGGTTTGTTTTGCCTGCATGCATATCAGGCAGAGTTCTGTTGTGGGCTTCCATTGGCTGATTTTTCAGAGTAGATGGCCAGGCCTTGCTTCCTAGTCTACCTTAGGAAGCTCCCTTGAAACCTGTCCACCAGGGGAGACTCTCTGCTGGCCTTTGAAATACTGGTAGCATAGCTTCCGGCAACATGCAAACTCGTGCAGTACAACAAACCAGCAGACAGGCAGTGGTCTCCACACACACTTCCCCTGCCTATCACCTGCTTTTTGTTGTTAACACCCCCATTTTTCAAATGAGGATACTGAGGCACAGGGGCATGATGCCGCCTCATAGCAATCCCATATGACAGTAGAACTGCCCCCATAGGGTTTCCTAGGCTGTCATCTTTTTAGGTCTTTACTACTGTGAAGTGACAGGGTGAGTTTGAACCATTGACCTTTCAGTTAGCAGCAGAGTGCTACCAGGGCTAAGCACTGAGGTGGCAGGCAGGCTGTTCCCTTCTGGAGGCTTCAGCGGTGGTCTGTTCCCTTGGAGGCAGGTCTGCCTTCTAAACGGAGAAAGCAGTGCCTGGCGTCTGACTCCTTGGGTGACAGGGAGGCGGGTGCAGGCTTGGATATCTGGGTCCTCTCCTCCCCAGCCTGGGTTCAACAGGCCTGGGACCAGGAGAAAGGCCAGGTTGCTGCATCCCTCCACACTGGGCGCCATGTGCCGTTGAGGTAGTCTTTCCCCAGTTGTCCTCTGACCATGTCACTTCCTCTGCCCTAGAAAACCCCCCGGGGTTGCAGACGCCGCCGGATCTGCTTTGGGAGCTGCTGCCACCAAGAGCCGGAGCCATGAGCGGGTTTAACTTTGGAGGCACAGGGGCGGCCCCGACAGGCGGGTTCACGTTTGGCCCTGCGAAGACGGCCACCACCACCCCTGCTACTGGGTTTTCTTTCCCCACCCCTGCCACCGGTGGGTTTAATTTTGGGGCACCCACCCAACCAGCTACAAACACCCCCTCGACCAGCCTGTTCTCACTCACCACTCAGACGCCAGCAACTCAGGCCCCAGGGTTCAGTTTTGGGGCAGCAACTCCTGCTTCCGGAGGCACGGGGATTTCCTTAGGCATAAATGCCCCAAAGTTAAACTTGGGCAACTCTGCAGCTCCCCAGGCCACAGTGAATCCCAGTGCCTTTGGGCTGGGCAGCACCCTCACCAATGCTATGGCCAGCGCCGTCACCTCAGGCCAGGCGGCACCTGGAGGCTTTGTGTTCGGCTCGACCACATCCACCCCTGCGCCCACCACCACCACCACTTCCTCTGGAGGAGGAGGAGGGTTCTCCCTCACTGGTGGGAGCTCAGTGCAGGCCCCAACCTCCGGCTTCAGCATGACCTCCATGGGGAGTTCTGCGCAGCCTGCAGCCCTAGCTGGGTTACCCTTCATGCCAGCCACACCAGCAGCCAGCGCAGCCGGGGCCACGCAGCCAGCTGTTCCCGTGCCCACCACCACCGCCACTAGCGCAGGACCCACGCTCTTCACCTCCATCACCACTACACCGGCCTCGTCTGCTGGCCCCAGCCTCTCTCTCTGCCCACCTGCAACCTCAGCCGCTGCCTCTGGAGCTGGGGGGCTGGGTTTCAGCTTAAAGGCCCCCGGAGCCGCTTCCAGTGCATCTGCTGTGACCACTACGGCCACCACCAGCACCGCCGCCACCACCTTCACCTTGAATCTGAAACCGCTGGCCCCAACAGGGCTGGCCAGCAGCGTGTCCACCACAGGGACCACTCCAGCAGGCTCCAGTGCAGCCTTGGGGGCGCCCACTAGCCCCACACTGACTTACGCCCAGCTGGAGAGCCTGATCAACAAGTGGAGCCTGGAGCTGGAGGACCAAGAGCGTCACTTCCTGCAGCAGGCCACACAGGTCAACGCCTGGGACCGCACGCTGATCGAGAACGGTGAGAAGATCACCTCCCTGCACCGCGAGGTGGAGAAGGTGAAGCTGGACCAGAAGCGGCTGGACCAGGAGCTCGACTTCATCCTGTCGCAGCAGAAGGAACTGGAGGACCTGCTGAGTCCGCTGGAGGAGGCGGCCAAGGAGCAGAGCGGCACCATCTACCTGCAGCACGCCGATGAGGAGCGTGAGAAAACCTACAAACTGGCCGAGAACATCGATGCGCAGCTCAAGCGCATGGCGCAGGACCTCAAAGACATCATCGAACACCTGAACACGGCCGGGGGCCCTGCCGACACTAGTGACCCACTGCAGCAGATCTGCAAGATCCTCAACGCCCACATGGACTCACTGCAGTGGGTAGACCAGAACTCAGCCCTGCTGCAGCGGCGGGTGGAAGAGGCTAGCAAGGTGTGCGAGGGCCGCCGCAAGGAGCAGGAGCGCAGCTTCCGCATCGCCTTTGACTAATGGCGCCCAGGCTGTGCTGCGGGGTTACAGAATATAAGGCTTGCCTGTTCGCTTCTTCCTTTTTCTTTCTTTCCAGCAATTGCTGTTGGGCAAACCGTTGCATGGTGTGACTCTGGCAGCCACCCCAGTAGTGTGGGCCCTGGGTGTATTGTTGGTGCTTTGTTCACCTACCCCCTCCCCCACCTTCTCACACACACACCTGTCCTCACCGCAGCCACGTTCACCTCTAAGCCAGTCTAGGTCCTCCAGGGTTTGTCAGGTGGCCAGCACCGATCAACGTGAAGTCCGAGTGCAGTGAGGAAAAAATGAACATTGAATTCACTTCCACTCTCAGAGGGTGAGATGTGTCCATCTCTACAAGGGACTGATGGCAGGATCTAGAATTCAGGAGGTGGGGACAGGTCAGAGGAGGGACCCCAGAAAAGTCCTGAGGCAAGGACCCACTGTGTTTGACCAACATAACATGTTTGTGGTCTACGGGGCTCCCTCGTCATCACCTCCTCCAGGAAGCTCTCTTGGCCGTCCTGCGGTGTGGTGCTCACAGCACACTGAGCTGTTTGCTCCTCTGGCATCTTGTTAGACTGTAAGCCCCTGTGGCCAGGGACCGGTATGTACTCATCTCTGTACCCATCACGTGTGTTGTCAAATGAACCAATGTGCCTGCTCCAGTGATTCCCCATCTCCAGAGGGACCACAACCCTGCTTCAGAATGTCCCAAAGAGTAAAGTGGGCCTGGTTAGTTAGCATGAGTGAGGCCAGCCTGGTCCCATGGTGGTGTGTGTCACTGCTGTTCCTGAAATGTCTGTCACAACTGTGTTCTCAATAAAGTCAGTTTACTGTGAAACAAAAAAGCAATTGTGAATGAGTGAGTGTCAGGCGGGTAAGGTTGTGGGTCAGAGAGGAGTAGGTTCCAAAAGACCCCAGCCCCGAAGGACGCCATTTCCCTGCGACTCAGAAACAAACATTAAGCCAGACATCAGTCAGGCCAGCCCCGAAGGACGCCATTTCCCTGCGACTCAGAAACAAACATTAAGCCAGACATCAGTCAGGCTAACAGGTAACCAAATGGGGTCTGCTTAACCAAGGGAAGGGGTGCTGATGGTACAACAGGGGTGACCCCATCACGGGTGATGTTCTGCTTGAGGATGCGGGTACCTAGTACATGGTGATACCTCGCATGCCTCAGACCTGGCTTGATGCAGTGGGCCTTGGCAGCTTTCTCTTACGACCTGGGTCTAGCTGGTGGGTTCCAGACAGCACCCTAAGGGTGCCCTTCCTCTGGCCCCCCAGCTCTTGGCAGGCATAAACGGCATGAGACCCAGGTTTCCCATGGGCCTCTTGCTAAGTGGTGCCTGCTACATGTTTTGGTGTCTACAACCAGTACCTGGAGGTTCCCGGTCCTTCCTAGTCACCAAGAGGCCCAGAACCCTGCCCACACAGAAGCCACGGGGTTGGGGGGAGCTAGAGGAGGACAATCTCAATCTTCCCAGCAGCTTCCTCTCTGCTCCCCACAGTGATGGCCCTCCCTTATGTGCTATTGAGGGATCCTGAACTTTTACCCATGACCCATAGACCCCTCTGCCCAGAGGGAGGAGGCAGGGAAAGATCTTAGCCCCCAGGAAAGCAGTAAGTCCTACCTGGCACTGAACAGTTCACAGCGGGGAGGTGAGTCTGTCACACAAAGGCCATATAGGATCAGAGAAAAGGATTTTTTTGGAGCACACATTTCCAGTGTGTATGTGTGTCTATAGTGTTTGTTGTTAGGTGCCATCAAGTCAGTTCGAACTCCTAGTGGCCCTGTGCACAACAGAACAAAACCCTGCCCAGTCCTGTGCCACCCTCATAGTTACATCTCAGTCCATTACTGCTGCCACTGTGTCATCCCATCTCACTTCACTGACTGCACTTCAGCAAACACGATGTCCTTCTCCAGGGGCTGGTCCCTCCTGAGAATATATATGTACGAAGTCTCACTATCCTGGCTTCTCAGGAGCAATCCAGCTATACTCCTTCCAACACGGATTTATATAGTTCTTTTCCTTGGTGGCACTAATGGTTAAGAGTTTGACTACTAACAAAGGCTGGTGCTTTGAGTCCACCCAGAAGTACCTTGGCAGAAAGATCTGGTAACGGGCTTCCAAAAACCCCAGCCACCAAATCCCTCTGGAGCACACTTGTTCTCTGAGATACACACAGTGTTGCCACAAGTCAGAATGGACTCGGTGGCAACTGGTTTGGGTTTCCTTTCCTATTTTGCAGGTAAAACCTGAGGAAATCATACATTTAAAACATTGCAATTATTTTCTTCTCACACTCCCAAGGGGTCCTGAGAACCCTACTTTGAAGAAGTCAAGTAATTATAATAAATTGGGATGGTTGCCTCATGGGAGGAATAGCTAGGGTCCTGGGGGAGCCAGGGAGGAGTCTTTATTATTGCAACCTTAACCACAGACAGCTGGGTGCCCTGTTCACACTATGGCTTCCTTGTAATTGTAGTTTCCCTTTCTAGGAAGAAAACACAGATGCGCTTCCTTGTCCAACCAGACAAATGGCTTCTCCCTAAGCTCTTCCTCATTAGTATGAAGACAACCAAAGTGACTCAATTTGGCATCAGAGGCTTTTAAAGGTGACCCCCACCTCAGTAAGCTCTTACTGCATTTCTTCTCCCCTTGTAAGGATAAGCGTGGCTCCTGATTTGATTTCAGTGTTCTTTGAATCTCAAAAAATATATAAGTAACATGCCCCGCCTCCCCTAAGGATGGCTCCCCTGCTCCAAAGGGCACAGTTTGCTCCAGAGCAAGGAACAGCCATAATGTTGCAACAAAAATCCCTAAGTCGTGGTGTGCTGGTAGATGATAAGCAGCCATCACTCCAAGGGGAGACTGTCATGCTTGGCAGTTTCCATGGTGTATTAGACACTTCACCTGGCTGATTCTAAGTGACCAGTGCAAATCATACACCAGGAATCTAGTGACAGATGCAAAGAGTGATGAATTTTGAATATTTTACTGCCTTTATTTTTAATAAAGATGTATTTAATTCTAAGTTTTTATAAATCCCTGGATGGTACAAACAGGTTACATGCAAACTGCTAACGAGGAGCACCTCAGAAGAAAGGTCTGGTGATCTACTTCCAAAATATCTGCCATAGAAAACCCTAGTTTGCTACAGTTATACTCTGACATACATTTGGTGATTTTTTATTTTTTATTTTTTATTTTTATAATTTGAACAATCAATGTCCTCTGCCAAACTGGTACGAGCCAGCTCCAGCACACCACTGCCCAACCCCCAAGGTTTCAGCCAACCCTGTGTTGTTAAAAGGCTGCTCTCAGGTTCTCAGAAACTTCCAGAGGAATCCCCCACTCTTAGGAGCCACAAGTGTTTCCAGACGTTAGCCACTTCCTAGTGGGCCCACCCCACCCCACCCCAGCCCACTTCCAGGCCTACACAATTTGTCGCTGTTTCAAATGCCAGAGGTTCATCTGGACACCCTGCTTCATCCCACCTTGCCTCTAGACACCATGTCTGCTTAACCCATATGACCACCAAAGAAAAGGGTAGGAAGAGACCACTCTCTCAGACTAGCTCTATGGGGTCACATACGGGGCTGGTACTAAGACAGACCCCAAACCCACTGAGCCAAAACCGTAAGTGGTAACAAAGAGTATCACTCAGATACACAAAATATGTGCTTTAAATCTTGATTCAGTGAAACCAACCATTCCAAACAAAATTATGAAACCATCAGGGGAAACCTTGACCATCGATTTAATAATAATATGGATTGATTCCAGTTTTAAAAAATAATGGTATTGTCTTTATTTATTTGTAAATAAGTTCTTAGCTCTCAGAACAAACGTTAGCAAATTGGCCATCCTGTTTTTTGTAAATAAAGTTTTGTTAGCACATAGCCATGCCCTTTCATTTGCACACTTCTGTCTGCAGAGGAAGAGCTGAGGGTTACTGTAGAGACCCTGTGGCCCGAAAAACATCAGATTTACTTTCCAGCCCTTTATGGAAAAAGGTTGCTGACTAGCCTCTGCTCTATAGAAATGCCCTGAAGTCCCCACTTATGAAATAATAGGATGGCTGGGGTTTGCGTTAAGATAATCCCAAAAGTAAGGGGACAAAGTGGATGAGGAGGAACCTGAAACAAGATGGGCTGAGAGGCGACCACTGGCAGTATCTGGTTTAAAGTTTATTGTGAATTGAGTGAGCATGAGCACTGGACCACCAGGTTAGCTTGAACAGCAAAGCTGGTGGTTCAAATTCACCAGCTGCTCCTTGGAAACGCTCTATAGGGTTGCTATGAGTCAGAAGCGACTCAACAGCACTTAACAGCAACTGTTTTAAGATGTGTGTTGTCTATCATAAAAAGCTCTTGCAAACAACAATCTGGTTCAATTAATAAAGAACCGTTGCCTAAATCAGGAGTGGGGGACCTTTTTTCTGCCCATTTATAACATCATTCATGGGCCAAACAAAATCATCAACTTAGAAATCAGCCTGTTGTACTTGGTCAGATATTTAATTAACTCACCCCTAATGTGATGGCTGGAGCCCTCGTGTGGTGCTGTGGGCTAATGCACCAGACTGCAAAGCCGTTTGAACTGCAAGGTTGACAGTTCAAGCTCACCAGCTGCTCCTTGGAAACCCTACCCAGGGTCTCTGTGGGTCAGAATGGACTCAATGGCACTTCACAACAACAACTGTGATGGCTGGAACTGCAAGGCAGCCTGCACCAAATGATTTCAAGGGCCTGATGCGGCCATGGGCCCCACCCCTGGCCTAGATCACTGTGACCGGCACACCTCACTTTCTTGGCTTTGCAGATCATTCCATTTGTCACAAGTGGAACATGTGTGGTGACCCTGCATGAAGCGAGGTTGTCGACACATTTCAAATAGCCTGTACTCACTTCGTGTGTCTCTGCCTGTTGTGGTCATTCACACAAGACTTCCAGATTTTTCATCGTGCAGTTGCACCTGGAATCGTCAAGTTTAGTGTCAACATCACCTTTCTAGACAGTGAGAAACCAAGATGTTCGTGTGACTCATTTGACGGTGACTTTCACTTGATTACAGTGGCCTGGAACCGAACCACAGTATTTCCAAGGTCTGCGTGTAAACCAACAACAGCTCATCTATAACAGATGAATGAGAAGGTTACGGGGCAGGGAGAGTTAGGTTAGTGGTAGAGACTGTGCGCATGGAGAAGTAGGTAGTCAGTGTCCCTGAATTATACATGTAGAAATTATGAATGGAGTATGTTTGATCCTCTCTCCATGGCTGCCAACTGCTCTAACCCCAACCCAGGTATCCTGGCACCTCTGCGCTGACACGGGCATCTAGACAAAGCCATCACCCAATGATGACATCTGTCCCGGGCTAAGAGGAAGGCCATGGGAGCAGCGAGGGCACCCTGGAGCCGGCTATGGAGTGAGTGTCCCTTAGGGCCCAGAGGTCCTAGAGACTGGGGGGGGTGGGCAGAGGGCTCTGGGGAAAGGGTTGGACTCCCCCCACCCCATCCTAGGGTCACCCAAAGATCAGAAGTCCCAAAGTAAGTATGTCCTCTGTGCTCCACGGCCTTCCCACATCCCAGAACTAGACCCTCTGATGTCCAGCTGGGCCCTTCCCCAGGACAGCCCCTGTCCCTCTGAGACAGTTTTAATCCCGACCACTCAGGGTCTTTGGTGCGGAAAGTATATGTATGTACTTATGTGTGTATATTGTATATGACACTGGTGGTGCAAGTGTTAAGCGCTCCGTTGCCAACCACGAGGTCAGTGGTTTGAACGAACACAGACATCCTGATTGAGGGAGAATTAACCTGGTGACCCAGTATTTCTCCAGAAATTGCAGCCTAGGAAATGCTGTGGGGCAATTCAACTGTCACATGATGTCTTCCTGAGTCATACTGGGCCTGGCAATGCCTATCTACAAGAAAAACCATAAAAAACCAGACCCTACCCTCTGCCGTGGATCCCCCTCCGACTCCCGGCAACTCCACTGCGGAGGGTTTCCAAAGCTGCAAATCTTTATGGAAGTAGACTGCCTCCTCGTTCTCCTGCAGAGCAGTAGGTGGATTTGAACTACTGTCCTTGTCATTAGCAGCCCAACTCATAATCCGCAATACCTCCCAACAACATACAAAGGAGCCTCACAGAGTACATGGGAAAATGGAATCAAAGGCTGATGACTCCCCATGTATGGCACTGACCCAATACCCATGCACCATCAGTATCAGCTGCCTTGATGGGCTCAGGGGCTCCATGACCTCTGCTTTGATGTGACTTAGCCCCCAATAGATCTATCACTGGCCAACCTCCAAACCAAACCACTTATCCTAGAAGCAAACCAAATGGTAAGGTTTCTTTCCCTCACCCCTGTCCCCACAAAAGACCATTTTTATCTAAGTGGTTCATTTTTCTAGAAACTCCATCATAAAACCAGGAAATCAACTGATGCAAACGTATCTGTTGGATTAGGGGGAAGCCCCAGACCTTGTAGGCCCCCCGCCCCGGTCATGTCCTCAGGTGTGCCTCACCTCTGTTCCTCCCTGGACACCTCCTCACCACGGGCCTCCGCCACTCTCAGACACACAAGCGCAGTGAGGGCCGACGGGAACCCAACCAGATCTACTCTCATTGCCAGTAAAGCCTTCTATGGTCAAGAGGAGCCCTGGTGGTGCAGTGGATTCCGAGTGAGCCTCGTAGGTCCAACTGAAAGGTCAGCAGTTCGAATCTACCAGTCATTCCATAGGAGAAAGATGAGACTTTCTGCTCCTGTAAATATTTACAGCCTAGGAAATCCTATACAGGCTCACTGTGAATCAGAACTGATTTGGTGGCACCCAATCAGCCAACCAAAGGTGAGGGTCAAAGCCCTTTTGGTGCAGTAGTATCAACACTGGACCGCTAACCAAAAGATCAGCAGTTCAAATCCACCAGCCACTCCTAAGGAGAAAGATGAGGTCATCTGATCCCGCGAAGGTTTATTTAGTCGTGGTCACCAGAGTCCGAATTGACTCGCTGGACTGCTAACTGAAAGGAAAGCGGTTCGCTCACCAGCCCCACAGGAGAATGATGAAACCCTAGGGGGCTGCTCTACTGTGGCCTACAAGCCCACTGATGGAATCGATAGCAGTGGATGTCTCTTGGGTTTATGGTACAAGCCGCTGAGGACAAGGAGGGCAGGGTCTGCCACGGAAGCCCCCGCCTGGGCTCTGAGACCTTTCACTTCCCTGAGCATCAGCGTCCTCCGAGCCCCCCACCCCCACTTGCCATAGTTGAGCTTTGGTTTTCCCATATGTCAGTGGGGCAACAGAGGATTAGTCATAATGGATGTTAAGTCCTGAGCTCAGGGCTACCTCCACCCGCCCTCCGTTTTCGCTTAGTCTGACTTTCCTTTCTCTGTCTAGTCTTCTCATTTTATTTCCTTTTTCTCTGGTCTCGCTCTCCTGTTCCAGTATTTAAAGCTCTCCGACGCATGTTCAGCCTCCAGCAAACCACATCTGTTTTCAGCTTGTGGCTGGGATTTCCCAGCTTCCCTCTGGATTTCCCATCTTCTTTGGTGCTTTCTTATATTAACTACTGTTGCTACAGAAAAGCACCCCCGCCACCTCATCAACTCCTCAGCCCCCTTCCCCTTGAAAAAAAAATCTCCCCAAGTTCTTCTCCACCTAGTCCTCTCCACCCCTTGGCCAAAGGCCCCAAAGCTATGAGGCCCTGCTGTCCCAGGTGGAGACTTCCAGAAGTTTCCTTACTATGACACCACACACTCTCTCCCTACCTTCTCTGCTTCACTGAGGGAAAGAAACTCCCTGGGAGAAAGGCCTTAGGAGGGGGGACCTGGATGAAGTTGACCTTCTGTAGGACAAACAAGTCCACCTGCTGGGTTGACCCATCACTGACACCCCCCAGGACTCTCTGGGTGGCAGCAACAACTGGCGTTGCCATGGGCAGGTACAAAGTCCTAGGAAAGGTCACAGCCTAGGAGCTGCTCTAGGGGGGCCGTTCTACTGTGTCACAGGGGGTCTAGCTCTGAGTCAGAACCCACATCACAGTGCCCAACAGTGACACCAGGTACTAACCGAGGGCAGTACCTGACTCATGCATGGAATCTCTTAAAGCCCCCAGCTGTCAAGCACCAGGCTCAGTCCCCAGGCAGGCTGGTCATTTGACAGATGGGGAAACTGAGGCTCAGAATGTCTGAGGGAGTGGGGTGGAGCCACAGCTGACACTGAGAACAAAACACCCCCACTCCCAAGAGTCAAGGGGCAGAGAGGGTACAGAATTGAGTTGGCACCACTACCTAAGCATTTATTTAGGGTTCCTGACCACCCCCAGAATTATTTGGGGCTAGAGAAGAAAATAGACTGGTTTCCTTCCTCCACCTCCTCATCCTCCCACCCCCCTGCAGCCTCACTTAGACTCCAGCTCCAAACCCAGGATGGGACAGCAGTTTCATTTCCCCCAGACCACTCCCAGAAGGAGGGGAAGGCTGGGCAGGGCCAGCTTAGGGACCAGAGGGGAATCCTGTGACAGAGCTGAGGGCAGAGAAGCCAGAGAGCAGCTGCTGTCTGCAGAGAGAAGAGGTAGAGGAGGCGGGGGGTGGGCAGAGAGCCCAGGAGACAGGATGGAGGGGCATGGGAGATGGTGGATGAAGAGAGGGGAGATGGCTGGGGACTGAGGCCAAGGGACAAGGAGGGAAGCAGAGACAGAAAGTCAGGAGGTAGGAGAAAGAAGACAAAGACCAGGAGGCCTAGAAAGACAGAGAGAGAGAGAGTGGGACAGAGACAGGGCGGAGAAAGGCAGAGGAGGGGAGTTGGGTCCATGTAGGAGGCTCTGGGGGGATGTGTGTCCAGAGAGAAAGGGAGATGTGGGCATGGCCAAGGGTGGGGCGGCACGCAGTCCCCTCTCATGGTGGCCTTCACTTCTCCTCCACCCCACATGCCATCTCCCACCAGACAGTCATGGATCCATGGGGTGAGTAAGTGGATGAGGGGCATGGCATGGGCAGGGCAGGACCCCCTTTCTTTCCTTCCACACACTGACCCCATCCTCCTCCTCCAGCTTCACGCTTCCTAGTCCTCGTTCCGCTCTTCCTCTGCCTGGTGGCCTCCTTGACCGAGAAGGCCGCCCACCACCAAGACCCCTTCGAGAAATGCATGGAGGACCCTGACTATGAGCAGCTGCTCAAAGTCATGACTTTGGGCCTCAACCGGACCTCCAGGCCTCAGAGGGTGATTGTAGTCGGGGCTGGCGTGGCTGGGCTGGTGGCCGCCAAGGTGCTCAGCGACGCCGGGCACAAGGTGAAATGTACTGCTGGCAGTCTACCTTCCCGTCCTTCCTACTGCAGGCCAGGAACCTGCCCCCCGTCCCCCAGAGAGAAGGGTGGGAGTGGTGGGAGATGGGGAGACAGGACTCTTCTATCCCCATGGTCTGGGGAGGGCATTTCACTGAGGTTCAAAACTCCTGCTCCAGCCTGGGACCTCGAGGGGGGTGTCTGTCTACCCTGATATTCTCAGACTCTACACCCCCACTGGAAATCTCTTGTAACATCCTCTAACCCCTGGGGGCACCTTGCATTGGTGGAGATGGAAACTACCCAATGGGAAGCCCCTCCTGAGATCTTAACTAAAACCCAAGAAGGAGAATGGGGCAGAGGCTTATGGGGAAATCTCCCCACTGGCTGAATCTGGAAGTCCCTCTGCATCTTAGGCAGCAGCCTTCCTGCTGAAGGCCGGGGAAGCTCCACATTTTCTATGCTCGCCTCTCCACTCCCCACAGCTGTAAGTCTGAGCTTCTGTGGGCAGGAAGGCGGGCGAGCACCGGCAGTCGCTGAAGGCCTGCCCACCTCCCTCAGGTCACCGTCCTGGAAGCAGACAACAGGATCGGGGGCCGAATCTTCACTTACCGAGATGCAAAGACAGGCTGGATCGGGGAGCTGGGGGCCATGCGTATGCCCAGCTCACACAGGTGCCCCCCTGTCTCCGTCCAGACTCAGCCAAGAACCCAATCCATCCCTATCCTGTCCATGTCAGCCTAAATGTCAACCCAGCTCAGGTCTAGACCCAGTCTCCTTTCTTGCCTGAATCCCCAGCTCAATGTTTCCTGGGCTCTAGTCAACCTACCTAACCTGGCCCTTCCCAAAGTTCCCCCAGGACTCCAGAGCCAGGGGGCATCACTAATCCAGGGCCCTTCCCCTCCCCAACCCAAGCTCTGTCCCCAACCCCAACTCAATCCCCACTCAGCCTCATGGCCAGCTCCACATCCCATCCCTAGCTACCCATGCTCTTCTCCAAACCCCACACAGGAGAGACCCTTGACTCCATCCCCACTGGAACCCATCCTAGGTCTGCTCTTCCCACCCCCTCCCCAAACCCCCTCCCCATCCCTCACCCTCACCAGCCCTCCCTCACCACTCACTCTCCCCCACACCCACCCTCACTCCCGCCCTCAGAATCCTCCATGAGCTCTGCAAGAGTCTGGGACTCAACCTGACCCACTTCATCCAGTATGACGAGAACACCTGGACAGAGGTGAATGGAGTGAAGCTTCGAAACTACGTGGTGGAGAAGATGCCTGAGAAGCTGGGCTACAAACTGCGCCCCAGGGAGAAGGGCCACTCACCAGAGGAAATCTACCAGATGGCCCTCAATAGGGTAGGTGGCCAGCCCAGACCCCTTCCAGCCAGTCTGGCCTGGTAGCCCTTCCTCTAGCACGTGCTGGTCCCCTGCACCACCTCTTCAGTCTCTAATGTCCCCATGAGCACTGCTGACCCCCATCCCTGAGCCTCATTAGCTTTTTGTCCCTTGTTCCCCTTCTCACACTCACACGTGGCCCCTGAGCAACCCCACCTTTCTGCACCTGTGCCTTAAGCTTTGGCCTACAAGCTGGTGGTCTCCTCAGTCCATATCCTGAAACCCAGACCTGTGTCTGTCTGCCTCCTCCCCAACCTCCAGTCCTCCCTTCAATGGCTCCAAAACCAAAACACCAACCCCATTGCCATCAAGTCGATTCGGACTCCTAGTGACCCTTTTGGACTGCATAGAACTGCTCCCTAGGGCTTCCAAGACTCACTCCTTAGGGGAGCAGACAGCCTCGTCTTTTTCCCTCAGATTGGGTGATGGGTTTGAACTGCTGCTCTTTCAGTTAGCTCAGTGTTTAACTCACCATACCATAAGGGCTCTCAATGGTTTAGAGGGGTCTCCTCATACCCAGCACTGCTATACTCAAATCCCCCAGGGTTCCTCAGTGCCTCACAGCCGAGGCCCAGCCCCTCAGCCTAAGGTCTCAGCCCTGAATCCTCTGGCCTCATCTTCTCTTCCTCATGAAATGTTTGTTTCTACCAAGAGAAACCCACCAACTCTGTCCTCTTTCCTACTCACTGTGTTCCTTCAGTATGCCACTCCCATGCCTTTACACTTGCTGGACCACCCTCTCACTCACCTCCACCTGGACATCCTTTTACCATTCAGAAAACTCTTATTCATTCCTCAAAACCCAGCTCCATGTCAGTCCCCTCCTCCAGGAAGCCTTGTCCATATCCCCTGTCAATCATCACCCCTGACAGCACTGACAGGTTGGGGGGGGGGCTGTCATATTCCCTCCACTCCACAACGATCCAGGTAACCAGTATTCACTGAGCACTGGGAAGACACAAGGGCACGCTGTCACATTTACAGCAGGGCTCAGTCTAGGACAGAAGTGGGCAAAATCACATTGGATGGGGATGAAGGTGACAGAGAAGTGCCATTTGAGTAGCGGTGGAGGATGAGGCTGAGGGCACTGCAGAGGCAAAGGCCCGGGGGCAGACCCTGGAAAGGGAAGCCGGGTTGCGGCCCTGAAGCTCAGCACCTGCTACTTGATCCCCACAGTCCCTCAAAGATCTCACGACACTGGGCTGTGAATGGGCACTGAAGACGTTTGAAAGGCACACACTCCTGGTAAGCGGGGCCTCCACCGGCTGTCTGTCCGGGAAAGGAGCACATGAGGGCACCATGGGGGCTTGCTCCGGACCCCCGGCCCAGGTCACTGCCTCCCGGCACGATCCAGGACTGGACAGGCCCCTCCCTGAGCTTCGGTGACCCCAAGTTTTATGCGGGAGGGAGGACTGAGACCGCCCACTCCCCAGGAATACCTCCTCGGGAAGGGGAATCTGAGCCAGCCGGCCGTGCGGCTCCTGGGAGACACGATGTCCAAGGACGGCTTCTTCTATCTCAGCTTCTTGGAGGCTTTGCGCGCCCACACCTGCCTCAACGACCAGAAGCGGTAAGGGGGCGGTAGCAAGGGCGGGGCAGATTTGGACCAATCGGACAAGTAGCAGACGAAATGGGTGGGCCGGATTGGAGTGCGGAGCCAAGGGCGGGAAGGGGCGGTGCTCCAGTGATGTTCCAACCACCTAGCATCCCCCCCTTTTTTTTTTTTTTGGAGAGGACCTGGAGATGAAAGGTTACCCGAAGAGGAGGTGGCCCAGAAACCTATTAGCCTGCGGGAAACACTATCCCTTGCTTTCTGGCTTCACAAGCGTATTAGGAGTGGGCGGGGTCTGGGAGGGGGCTATGCGCGTGGGTGGGTCTAGTGGGTATGGGCAGGTGCCCATAGGCAAATACGGAGTGGGCGGGGCTTGTGAGGAGTGGAATTCGAAGTACCTGGGCAGGTGAAGTAAGAATGGGCTACGTTGCTGGGCAGGGCCGCTGGGGATGGGCAGGTGAAAACCAAAACTGGGCAAGGCCAAGGGAGTGGACAAAAGCAAAGGGTAGGGGTGCTGGGGCAGTGGGCCTGGAGGGGTGGGTCCACTGGATGGGGCTTTAGGGAAGTGGCTGGCCCACAGGGCAAGGCGAATACTACAAACCAGGGTCACCTCTTGCCCCACACCCAGGTACAGCCGCATCGTGGGCGGCTGGGATTTGCTGCCGCGTGCGCTGCTGAGCTCGCTGTCAGGGCCATTGCTGCTGCGCACGCCGGTGGTGGCGGTGAAACAAGGGCTGCATGAGGTGCATGTGCACGTCTCCACGTCGCACGGGGCCCACTTCCAGAAGGTGCTGAACGCTGACATGGTGCTGCTGACGGTCAGTGGCCCGGCACTGCGGCGCATCTCCTTCACGCCACCGCTATCGAACAAGCGCCAGCACGCCCTGCGCGCCCTTCATTACGTGGCAGCCACCAAGGTCTACCTGAGCTTCCGTCGGCCTTTCTGGCGCGAGGAGCACATCGAAGGCGGCCACTCGAATACCGACCGCCCGTCGCGTGTCATCTACTACCCACCACCAGGAGAGGGCGCGCTGCTGCTGGCCTCGTACACGTGGTCGGACGCGTCTGCGCCTTTCGCCGGCTTGAGCACTGACGAGGCGCTGCGTTTGGCGCTGGAAGACGTGGAGGCGCTGCACGGACCCATCGTCTACCGGCTGTGGGATGGCAGCGGCGTGGTCAAGCGCTGGGCGGAGGACCCGTATAGCCAAGGCGGTTTCGTGGTGCAGCCGCCCATACTCTGGCACCCGGAGAAGGAGGACAGGCACGCCACCAACTGGGAGGTGCCCTATGGCCGCATATACTTTGCTGGCGAGCACACTGCCCTCCCACATGGCTGGGTGGAGACAGCTGTCAAATCGGCTCTGCGGGCAGCCATGAGGATCAACAGCCACAGCCAGTCTGGGCACAAGGCCGATCACGCCCACCTGGTCCAGAAGGCCTCAACCACTCAAAATCCGACGCATAAATCGGTCTCTACTGAGCACACAACCCACAAGGGGGCCCAGCATTAAAGTATTTGTGGGAAAACCCCACATGGCCCAGGCTCCTCCCTGGCGTAGTTTGCCTAGAGCAGAGGCCTGGGTACGCAGGCTTCACCCAGGCACCCCAGAAGCTGCCCCCCTTTCCCTGCAGAACAGAGCTCCATAGGTGGCAAGGGGTAGAAAGGGCCACAGGCCGAGACGAGGCGAAAGGCACGGGCGGATCTAGATGCGAGTCCCTGAAAAGCCAGCTGGCAGTGGGTTAGATGCCACGAGCCTTTTTCACACAGAACTCAAGGCTGTAACAGGGTCCCTGGAGTCTAAAGCGTCCCGTCCCATGGGCACTGACACCTCGGCTGTGACCCAGATGTGTTTCAGCAGTTACTGGGTGGCCCTGGCTCAAGGACGCCTTCCTCACGCCTCCAAAAGTCCCAAATTCCAAGTGCCCCTCCCACTTTTATACCCACAACTTCCTCAGCCCCTAAGGCCTCCCTTACCTGGAGTTCTGTGGTCAGAGAATGGCTATTTCTGGTGACCAGCATTGGTCTACAAAGTGAGGGGACCAGGAGCCACCACCCTGCCCAGTCCAAGTCCCTGCAAATGTGCCAGCATACTGTCCCCATCAACACAGGGCCAAATAGTCTTATGAAGTGTCAGTTTAATTAACCAACTAATCAGGAGAGAGGAGGGCCCTGGGCATGGAGGGATGCATGACAGGAAGCCCCGCCCATCCACACACACCCCGGCCTCGGAAATTGGGGGGCCATGAGGTGGGGCCGGGTAAAGTGCCTGTGCTTAACCGGCCTGGGAACGGGAGTGCTAGGTGTTAGCCCCATCCTCCTCCTCCGGCAGAATCTCCAGGCTGCTGTCTGGCTGAGGAGCTGAGTCTGCTGCGGGCACCTGGGTCGACGACGGGGAGTGGGAGGAGGGCGACAGCGGCAGCGGGGAGGCAGGGAAAGATGGACTGTGTGGCTCCCCAGGCAACGCCAGGCCCAACACCTCCTGCACATTGTGGGGCAGCTCCTAGTGAGGAGAGGGAGAGAGGGCGGGTTCACAGGTAAAAGGGGAGGGATCAGAGGCAGAAGGGAAATCAGTCAGGCAGGCAGGGAGAGTCAGGCTGGGGGGAGGAGTCAGGAGGGGCGGGGCCAGAGGCGGGAGGAGTCTCACCTGGCAGGCGGTCAGCTGCCGGTAGAGGGCCTCTGCCCGCGTCAGCACGTCCTCCACGCTCAACTTCATGGTCAGTTCATTGATGTGCTGCGGGAGGTGGAGGTCAGGCCCACCTGTCTTCTTGTGGCCATTCAACCACCACCGCCTGAAGACCCAATCTGTGCCCCATGCTGGGGACGCAATGGGGGGGGCGGGGCGGACCGAGAGGGTCTGGCCCTCACAGGACTCAAGCTGGGGGCCAGGAAGGCCTTGCTTGGGAATATCAGGAGGAGCAAGGCACAAAGCCCCTGCTTTGCCCAGAGCCTGCCCATCCCAACTTCAATCACAGGGAGGGCGGTTCCATTTGCAGTTTTGTGGTTGAAGGGCAAGCTCCATGAGGTTTTGTTGTGAGCCAGGGATAGGATGGGGCAGGAAAGAAATGTCTTCCTCCCACCCCACCGGACCTCTGCCTCACCATCCCTTCCATAAGCCTACTTTGAGAACCTAGTACGTGAACTGAATTCTGCTGTGGCCCTGTAGCGTAACAACTGGACTGTGTAGTCAGTTTGAACCACGACGTTGGCAGTTCAAACTCACCAGCTGCTTTTTAAAAACTCTATGCAGGGTTGCTATGAGTCCGAGCTGACTCAATGGCACTTAACAACAACAACAAATTATGTAAAGTAAGGAGCTCTGGTAGTGACTCAGTTAGGCACTTGGCTGCTAACCTCCAAGTCAGCAGTCTGAATGCACCCAGAGGCGCCACAGGAGATAGACATGGGACCCTAAACACCTAACAACGACAGGAAGTAATGTGACTGAAAGCAGCTCACACCCCAGCAGATTGAAGGAGGGGGAGCAGGGCCTGACCTTGAGGATCTCATTGGAACCGAAGCCTGACAACATCAGGGTGTCCCGCTCCATGTCCAGGATGGCGCAGGCCACCAGCAGGTGTAGGTTGGGCCCAGGAAGCCCTGTCCATAGCACCTGGAGGGTAGGATGGGGAGGAGGACTGGTGAGGACCCATCAGCAGTCCTACTGCCGCAGGACATCTGGGAAAGGGGGTGGTGGGGTGGTGGCGGAGGGGGGGGTGAGCACCCAGGTTTCTCCCCAGCCCCCCTTCCCACCAGCAGTCCCTGACCTCCCATAGCCGCAGGACATCTGGGAACGGGAACTCCCTCTTGAACCAGATAAGGAGCCAACGGAAACAGAAGCAAAGCGAGCCAGAATCCTGGGAATCTGTTAAAGGAGAGACAAGAGGGCTGAACCTCAAAGGGCAAGGGGCCAAAGTTGTCGGATATGTTCTCAAGCCCAGCCTGGTGGGCAGCCAGTGCTCACCAGAGAACTTCAAAGCCAATTCTGATCACACTGCATTCATAAGACACCCAGAGATCCTGCTGCAACTCTCCTTAAGAAGGGAGCCTGGTGACAGGACTCCCCGGGGCCAACACAGTAATGTAAGCACCCTGGGGCCCTAGCGGTGAAAAAGGACTACCCTGAGCAAGAAGGAGCCTTCCCACCCACCTGCCTGCCTCCAGATAAAATGTGCCATTTCCATATTTTCCACGTACGACAGGGAGACAAAAACCCCCAAGGAAAAATAAAATGTCAACACCTAGTGCTGGTGAAGGTATGGGGAAACTGACAGTCATTCATAAATGCTGCTGGTAGAGGTGATTTTGATACATAGCAAGCCCGTACAGGGTTTCAGACGCTATAAACATTTATGGAAGATGATTCCACGGGTTCAACCTACCAAGTGATTAAACACTGCACCACCAGGGCCCACTCACTCACATGTAAGTTGCAAAAAACCTAAGTTGGTATAACTTTTCAGGAAAATATCAATAGGGGAAAAAATGATCCCAACCATCACAATGAAACCTAAATGCCCAGGTGGGCACGTTAAATAAGCAGCAGTAAGTAGCTGCCAGGAGTCTAGGTATGGCATTGTAGGATAAGCACTGAACTGCAAACCACAAGGTCAGCAGTTCAATCCCACCAGTTGTTCCTTGGAAACCCTACACAGGGACACTACACAACCCTTCAGCACTTAACACCCAGCAGTTGCCTTAAAGGGAATCCACCTCGTTAAGTGTGCCTGCATGCCTGCATTTGCCGAGGTTTGCTCCCAGCGAGACTCTGATTTTCACAAGTGTTTTCACTTCTGGATTACGGAGGGAGTTTTCTTTGGGTTGGGTCAGCACCAAACGTTCTAGATGCGGACTATGGATGCTACCCTAACATCTCTGGCCCCTCTGTCTCTTGCTCTGAGACACGCACCAAGAAAGTCACACAGTGGTGGGTCCAGCACCCTCAAGAGCAGCAGCAGTTGCCCGAGTTGTCGCTTCATGGTCTCTTGGCTCTCCTCAAAGTTCCCGTGCTTCAGGGAGAGAGGCAGGCAGGGAGGGCCATGTGAGTGACAGTTGGGACTCCTGTTCCTTTGGGGGGCCTTCTCCCACTATCCCCCCTGTGCCTCACCACAAGCTCCATGAAGCCGCAGAAACACCAGAAGGCATCCACCTCGTTCTGAATGACGTAGAGGATCGGGGAGAGAAGGTCACTCATGCCCTGGACGTAGCCTGGGAGGACACAGGGTCAGGGTCCGAGCCAGCCCTTGGCACTCCCCCTACAGTTTACCGCCCTGCCCAAGCCACACACCAAGGTCGAAGTGGTACATGCAGTAAGTGAGGAGGATATCGTTGAGCAGACCCAGCCCTGGGTTCTCGGGGCCCTCGTAGAATCTGTTGGTCCTGTCAGTGCGGCTCACGTCTCGCTCTGCAGGGAACAGGTGGGAGACACACAGCAGACAAAGGTAAGGGGCCCTAGCTTCTGGCTGCCAGCCCCCATTCACCCTCTGAGCAGACCCCACCCTCAGGCTCACTCTTGAGGTGGAGGAACTAGGGACTGGTTCAAGCAACAATGAGAACATTCTGGACGTGCTACCAGAGCCGTGTAGCCGCAGCTGATGAGCCCCATTCCTACTCACAGCAACTCCCCAGAGTGGAGCTGCCCCCGGCCCCAGGGTTTCTGAGGCTGTAATCTTTATAGACGCAGACTGCCGTTTCAGCTTGTATCTGCAGAGCAGCTGGTAGGTTCAAATGGCCAAACAATCAGTGAGCAGCCATGCACGGGACTCACCGTGCCACCAGGGCTCCTCGACATATGCCATCACCAAGTAACTCACTGGTGTTAAGGCTGCTCCTATAGGACCAACTAGAAGTCCCCATAGGGTTTTCAAGGCTCCAAGTCCTGATGTGGCACTGCACAGTTGGGGTTTCAAACCTATCAGCCGCCCCTCAGAAAGCCTACATAAGGTCACGGAGTCAAACCACCTGGACATCATTAACAAGTCTTTATAGGAGCAGACAGCACATCTTTCTCCCACATGCTAAGCAGAGCAATCTAGGGTTTATCTGCAGCTGGGGAAACTTGAGGCGTAGACCTTGTGAACGGCAGGGCTGGAATGAACTCCAGGCTGCCTGATTCCCTTCCTCCCTCTGGCCTGACCTCTCCCCCGGCTTATTCCCACACTGCTCACGCATTTCCCCCCAGATGGCCTTGTCCCCTGCCCCACCCTGCAGCCCCGGCACCCACCGATGAGGCTGCGGTACCCACGCAGCAGCGAGTTTCTCCGCTCCTGCTCAGCGCTCACTGACTTCCACTGCAGCTTCATGCGGAAATACTCGTCCCTGCAGGAGGGCAGAGGAGTCAGGACACCCCAGGAAGACACGGAGACCTCGGGGGTGTCCTCCCCAGGGCCGCCTACTCATCCTTAGGGGCTCAGCTCTCAGGTCCCTTCAGACCCATGTAGTCACCTGTTTGTTCCTATCACTGCCCAGTACTCGTCGCCAGCTTGCATTTCCTACACACAAGAGCACCTGCAGAATGCCTGTCACCCCTACCTGAATGAATGGAACTGTATCCCTCTCCCCAGACAAAAATACAAGAGGGAAACAGGAAAAGATAACAGAAGTTTTCCATGAACTTTTGGAAGCCCCCACGTATGTTTATCAATGCCTGTGGTTCTAACCCCGTTTGGGACAGGGTTGTTGTTCTGTGAATGAGGCAGAATTAAGTGTGGGGTGTCTCCTCGGTTAGTCTTTTTGGAGATTTAAAAGAGTTTAAACAAGTGAGCAGAGCAGACGGGACAAGAGAGATACCAAGTCACATGGGCACTGTCTAGGAGCAGAGCTTGGGAGAGACATGGCTCCACAGAGAGAGCCCACAGAGAGCAAGAGTGCCAGAGCCTGGAATTTGGACTTCTAGCCACCTAAAGTGTGACAGAATATGTTTGTTTATTAAAGCCATGCACTTGTGGTATTTTTGTTATAATAGCATTACAGACTCAGAAAGATGGAGGAATGGGTGATATGGGGTTACAAACACGTTTCAAAGCTGTGGTGACTGAAACAGAATGGCACGGGAGAGCAGCAAGGATGACAGAGTTTGGAGACAGATCCTCGGGGCAAGGCCCAGATGACTGGATGGCCACACCACAGGGGCCTAGTGTTCGTGGGGAAAGCCCTGTGGTACACACTGGTGCAGCCATCCCCTAACCTGTCCCCACACTTGGAGCTGAGGATAAGGAGGACCCCGCATTCCAAAAGGGAGGGGAGCCTGGGACTGCGCAGCCGGGAAGCCGTGTCAACTTTATCACTATGTGGGGGGTACAGGGGGGTGGGGTGGTGCCATCCCAGATGCCACTGGCATCTCACTCACGTTTTCTTGCGCATGTGAGCCTTGTGCTCTTCAGCTGAGTCCTCCCAGCTGAGGTAACCCAGGAGAAACTTCCAGGCCTCACGCCTTAGGCTAGGGCTCAGACCCTGTGGGAAGGGACAAGAGGACAGATGGCTCAGAGATGTTAGTCCGGATGCCACAGCTCCCCAGCCCTGCCCACCCCAGCACCTCACCCCGGAGAAGATCCGGGCCTTCAGTTCAGGGGCCTGCTGTAGGCGACCCTCAGGGCCCACATGCTGAGCCCACTCCTCTTCTGTGACTGGGGGCCCCCGCTCCACAGCTGGCCGCGGCCCCAACTCCACCTGCAGACACAAGGCAGTGAGAACAAGGTCCCCTGTTCCTCTCTGCAGTGACCTTGCTTGGCCCCAGCCATGTCCCTGTCCACCCTGACGGACAGGATAATGTTCAGGGCAGGAAGTGCCTCTTTCTCTGACTGAGCAATAAATTTGCCCCAACTCCAGAGGGGCCCCCGACTAATGACAACCATCCAATACGGTGCATATCACGTGCCTGGCATAGGCAAGGGCACCTCCTGTGAAGTCACCACTCCGCCAATCCAAGGAGGGTGGTGCCATGATTCTAATTTACTGAGGAGGAAACCAAGACCCAGGGAAATGAAGTTCCCAACCCAAGTTGCACAGCCAGGAAGTAGTGGTGTCTACTCAGGTACTCACACAGGAAATGACCTCAAAGCCAGGCTCTGGCTCCTCATCCGGTGCTGGAGGGAGGTCAGGGGAGGCCCCCTCCTGGTGTGGCTGCAAGGCTCCCCGGAAGAAGTTGGTTACTCGGGAAAAGCTGCTGAAGGTAGTGGAGTAGGGGTCCTGGAGGAAGCGCTGGGGACAGGGGGGAAATGTAATCATGGCCCTGCCACATCCCATGTCTCCCTCCAACCAACTCCCTCACTGCAGTTCCCCCACCCTTCCGATCTCCCTTGCTCCATGCCAGCCCTGTAAAGTCCCCTCACTACATTCTGCCGGTCCTTGCCTCCCCCAACACCATCCACCCCTTCAAGTCTCCTCTACATTCCAGCCCTCATGCCTCCCCCACTATTTGTTGTTAAGTGCCCTCCTCCTTTCCTGTTTTGCTTCACTATAGTCTAACCCCCTATGGCAACTCTAGACATCCTTCCCGGCCCACCCCCTCCCTGCCTGGGCCTGGACTGACTCACAGATACTACATTGGAACTATCCTGGTCAAAGAGCTGCAGGTGATGGAAGGAACTGGAGAGAGCAGACGAGTCGTGGGGGAAGACAAGGTAGAGGCGGGAATCCTGCGGTGAGCTGCAAGCGAGAGAGGTGAGGCGTGTTTGTGATGACCAGGTGGAGGGCCCTGGGTCCTGAGCTGTCTGTGCTCACCCTTTATGAATCCCCCATCTTGTTGGGGGAGTCCACAAGGCCGGGATTATGTGGGAAAGTCTGAGATCACAACAAGGTTTAAAGCACGAGCATGTGACCGACCGCAAGGCTGCGCACTGAGGGTATCCCAGCCCCCTGGCCAAGGCATCTAATTCAGGGATGGGCATCTGACACCAGCTTGGCCAATGAGAATAGCCTTGAGATTTTGCTGGAATGAGGCGAAAGAACTGTCTACCAACTAGGGTTGCTAAGGCATCGTTCCTGGGTCCCCCTAGAGCACTCTGTTTCATCCTGTCGCCTTTCCCCTTGTTTCTTTGGGAGAATAGCTTGGGAGATTTCCCCCCTAAGCCCCTAAGGGGCTGACCTTTGCCCTTGTTTTCTACTCCAGGGGGGTCTGTGTTTCTTACTTTTGTCCAGGTTGACTGACATTTTAAAAATGGCCAGTGGGGGTGTCAGCCGGAGGGGAAGGAGAATCACCAGCACCTCAGGGCTGATGCCTGTGAGGCAGAGGTCAGCCATGCCTCCTCCTCTCTCCAGCCTTTTCCCCACTCCCGACACCCAGCTCGCGCCCACAGCGCTTTCTACTTCTGTGCTGGGTTCTATCATCCGTTGCAAGGACTATGGGGTTTATTAGGGAAGCAACAGGTTAGAACTGAGGGGCAGAAATGACTCAGGAAGAATTCTTTGGTCAGGACAGCTCCTCAGCCATGCCTACAAGCAGGCCTCCCTCTCAGGCCCCTTGGGCTAGCCTGACCTCTGCCCTGTTTTTTTGGGCAAGTGTTACAAAGCTTTGGCTCCACTGTCAAGCCACCAGAGGCACCCTACTCCATCAGAAGGCCTCACCCAGAGCCACTCAGCTCTCTACTCCCAGGGCCAAGAAACCTAGCTCTGCCCACAGGTGCGCAGGGGCAGTTGACTCTGTCAGTCAGCCTTCTGCCCAAAGGCACTCAGCTCACCTGCCCCATGGCCGGGAAGCCCACTATGCCCCCTCCTGGTTCCTACACCTCAGGTGCTACGGCTCTCTCACTCAGCCGAGGGGGACGTGCACAGCAGAGAAAAGGGCCTGCTTGCTTGCCTGGCTGACAGGAGCTGAGAACTGTCTGGCACTGAAGAAGGGAGACTTTGCCTACGTACTTTCTCTTCCTGAGCTGTCGCCTGCCAACCCTGATCCTGAGGTATAACCTGTAACCTCCCAAGTAAACCTCCAAATCGTGAGGGCTGTCTGCGTTGTGTGTGACTATTGCAAGGAATGATCAAACCCAGCAGTGGACAAAGTGCTGTGGGAGGGACAGTTGGTGTCAGAATTGGTAGAGAGGTTGGAGGGTGAAGGCACATGTCATGTCCACTTCATAGGAAGCAGCCCTGGGCTGATCTTGATCCACCGTATCCCCTCTGAGGTTAAGTCAGGTTCTGATTCCATTATTACTCCCCTTTTACAGAAAACAAACTCAGAGAAGAAATTGTAAGCATTTATACCATTTCAGGACCAGAATCCTGCTTGAAGTTAAAAAATCAGTGGCCTTCTAGTCAATCACAGTGCATGGAACTGTGCTCCCGAGTTTTCAAGAGCTGAGTTTTTGGGAGGAGATTGCCAAACCCTTCTTCCAAAGCAACTCTGGACAGACTCCAACCTCCACCCTTTTGGTTAACAAGCACATTAGCTGTTTGGATCACCCAGGGATTCTGCCTAAAGTCAAAACTACCCTTTCATCTCACAGTTCAGTAACTTTCATTCTCATTCTTTAAACCACTTTGTGAAGTGTTTCATTCACAATCCCAAGGGCTCAGAATGCAGCTATGCAGGGCCACTGTCCAGAGCTGGGAGCTCACCTGGCCAACAGCAAGTAGCGGCTGAGGACTCGGAGCAAGGCGCGGGTACCCCCAGAGTGGAAGTGCAGGGCAGGCAGAGATCCTCCAGCCTGGGTCACCAGGACCAGGTAGGCCCAGTTCAGACCAGGCTTGGAACGACGGATGGACTTGAGCTCCCCCAGACTCACAGAGAAGGCCCAGGAGCCCTGGGAAGAGCTGGGCTCTGTACCTGGAGAGGATGACGCCATGTTGAATAGGGGCATGGGAAGCTAGAGGTGGCCATGTCAACTGAGGGCATCCACTCAGGAAACAGACAACTCCCAACTCTGAACCACATCAGGCTCTGCTCTGGGAGCTCCGGATCACCTCCCATTTCTGTGGAAACACCAACTAATAAAACAGGAAGGGAGCCTGGAAAAGCTGTCAGGTGGATATGCGCCCTCTCTAAAATCTTCTTAGGTCCCCTAACACCTTATGGATAGAGATCATGTTCCTCCATACTAGCATGGAAAGCTACCTACCCCCTCCTTGTCTCATGTTCAGCCTTCTCTTCACTCCAGATGCCAATGAAAGGCTGGTGTGCAATCATAAATAAGCCAGTGCCTCATGCTCTGTCCCCTGGACAACTACCCAGTGCCCGTGAGAGCTAAGGTCTGGGCATCAACTCCTCTTGGAAGGCTCCCTGCTGCCCTGGCGGGTCAGATGCCTCCTTGGACTACCCACATGCACTGTGGAAGGCCAGACAGTGAGACTTACTCTATATATCACAATGGACTGTAGCTGTTGTCTCTAACAGCATGGAAATCTTTGTGGGTTTAAGACTTATTTGGAGTGTCCATGGCCAATCCAAAGAGCCCTGGTAAGACAGCAGTTAAGCACTTGGCTGCTAACAAAAAGGCTATTGGCTCAAAGCCACCATCCACGCCTCAGAAGAAAGATGTGCTGGCTGCTTCTGTAAAGAGACCCTGTGGGGCAGTTGTACTGTGTCCTACAGGGCCGCTATGAGTCCGAATCCACTCCATGGCAATCAAGCAATGGCTAATCCAAAAGTCAAGGGGTTGAGCAAGGCTGCAAGTCCCAGAAAGAAGTTGGCCATGTTGGGAAGCCAGTGCTGGGTGGCCATTTTGACCAAGGGCAGCAAAGTCTTTGGAGCCATGACCACTGAGTGGTGACTACAATGGGCACCGGCTTAGCCTACCTCTCGTGGGTTCGGAGTGGCGGGGCCGTGGCCGCACAGTGCTGATGACGGCCCAGTCAGGTTCATAGCCAGGATCAAAGGTCGGTTCCTCCTCAGAAGTGCAGCAGTCAGCCCCAGTGGAGTCCTCGAGTGACAAAAAGGAGAAAGCAACCCCATCAAACAAAGAGGGACACTGAAGCTCAGAGAAGGCACAGTACTTGCTCAAGGTCACCTAGTGCAGCTGGAACTAAGCCAGGACTTGAACCCAAGTCTCTCAAGGGTCTGACCCAAATGGCCACATGGCAGAGAGGAGGTGCAATCCCTGGTCCTTAGATGGACTGGAGCTGCGTGTTCCTCTTCATCTTCCTATATGTGACAAAGCAGCTCTGGGGATAGCTTGCTATGTCAGTGCCTAGGCCCTAGTTGTGTGGGTGCCAGGAGGTAGCTGGGGTGGCAGTAGCTTGCTGTCCCCTAGTGGGGGTCAGCTTTGGGTGTTGGGGGTGTTGTTCTTGAATCAGCAGCTCCAGCAGAGGCCTCTTCACTTCCTGCCACCAGAATGAGGCGGCTACTGCCCTGGTAGATCAGTTCTGAAACTCTGACAGCCCTCAACTCTGTATAGTCGCTCTCTCTTGTTTTTTTTTTAAATGTTTTATTGTGAATTATGTAATAGTTTACATGAGAAAACATTTAGCTTTCTATTCATCCTGTTGTATATCCTTTCATTGCCATGGTTACAGTCCCCTCCATGCATCATCAACCAACCAAAAGGTATTCCCTGCAACCCTGTCCTCCCACCCCATCATCAGCACACAGCCCCTCTCCCTCTCTGGGTCTAGAATCCCCAGCCGCTCCATCTCGCCACGTCATCATCACTGCCTCTATCTCTGGCGTCACTGCTTCTCTGGGTAGGGTCACGCACTCCACTCTTCTCCCTTGATGGTCCCAAGGACCTCGGCTCCTGGACTGCAAAAGTCAATCACTCCCCTCCTTGCTACAAAACGTCTACCTTTACATTTCCAACCCTCACAGTCAGTCCTGATAACAACTATTCACTATTGTACCACAAGAGACCTATCCCCATCTCCTTTCATGAGCCCCACCCAGACAGATTGGATACTACTCAGTGGAGATTCTACCTTCCTCCACGGCCTCGGGATCTAGGCTCCTTCTTGGAAGCTTCAAAGCCAGTCACTTCTTGCCTTTGTATTCCCCCCACTTTGGGTAGCCAATGTCCAAGTTGCCCATCCCTGTCTACTCTGTGTATGGAGGGGGTGGGAATGATCCTTGCTGTAAGGATTTGTTTCCTCTTTTGAGCTACTGCATCCATAGATATAGGTCAAGTTCATCAAATTGTATCAGATTACTCTTTTTTTTCCTCTTTCTTTCTCTGTTTCTTGCTTCTACTACTAGTGAAGTGAGTTTATGACTACTCCAATGAAAGCCTGTCTTGATCAGACCACTGAAGCCAGGAAGGACCCACACCATGTGTCTACTCAACAGTCACCTCTGTCCCTTCTCCCAGGCTGCCAGGACAGAGGCTGGCTCACCCACCCCAGAGTTGTGTCCCATCCTGCCTCACAGCTATAAGTGGCCTTGTGACCCAAGTCCAACCAATGGGAACCAAGGGGACATCTGCAAAGAGGTTGAGGCACATACAAGACATGATGGTAGGACCTTTTGGCCTGAGCTCCCAGGACCTGAATACACAGTGTGAGTTACCCCCTTGCACCCTGGTGGGCTTTCTGAAGAAGCAAAGAGCCGGAGGCAGATATCCTCCGGTCTCTTGGTTTCTGAGCTTTCCTTGAAAAGGTAGCCTCATTCCACAAGAATGAAACCCAGGGCCAGAGAGAGCCTAGGAACCAGCTAGTGTCCCACATCCTACCAACGTTCGGACCTAGAACAAACCCATGAATGACGGAGGGGGAAGCCTACCTTCTTGGAGAAGAGGATTTGGGTGGAATCGCCGGCCTCCTCTATGGGAGCCCAGTGCAGAAGGACGTCATTATCCTGAGAGAAGGGGGCGGAGTTACTGGGGCTCCCCAAACCTCACTCCCAATTCTTCCCACTGAAAATCTCCATTCTTCTTCCCTAGTCCCCACCCTCGGCTTTCTGATAGCCCCTCATTCCAGTGCCCACCTTCTCCACGACACGAATGACGCCGGCGATGAGGGAGTCGGCGTCTTGATGTTTCTTGGCACTGGTGTGCAGGTACACGCCTCCCTTTTCAAACACCACCTAGGGGCGGCACTAGTCAGGGGCGGGGCCTACGTGGGAGGTGGGCCCAGCAAAAAGCCAAGGGGCGGTTCCGTGGATAAGGAGCTTCCCCTCCTCCCTCCCCCGCAGGAGCGGGGCCGGGGTGATTATTCCAGTGGGGAAGGAGTCAAAGAGTGGTCTCAGTCGGGAAGTCTGCAAGGTGGGCATTCGGGTGCTGGCAAATTCTAAAAGGGGCGGGGCCCTAGGGAGGGTGCCATAAAGAGACAAGCTCGCAGGGAGCGTTTCCCAGGGGGGCGGGGTCCAGGAAAGCGTCCAGCCGCCTGGGGGCGGGGCTAAAAGATGCGCGTTTTCCCCCCCGAAAGAAGTTGGTGGGGAGAGTGACAGCGTGTTCAAAAGGGAATGGTGTTTGGTAAGGCCCATCCCAGGCTCCCAGAGCCCAGACACAGTCAGAAGGAGATGCCGACCACCAGACGGAGGCGTTCCACAAAGACAGAAGCGAGCTGATGCGCCCTCCGTGCTTACCCTGTAATCAGGTCCGTCCATAGCCACAGCCAAGGCGCCACTGCCCCCGCAGCCCCTCCTTTTCCGGGTCAACGAGGTGTCACATCCGGATAGGAGACTTCCCCTCCGTTCCTAAAAATGGTAGCGTTCCTGCTCGTTCTAGAACAGCAGTGGACGAAACTATCTTTCAAAATTGGGTGGTTACTATGAAAGTTCGAATCACGTGGCACAGACGCCGAAGGTGGAGCAGGTTAACAAGAGACGCAGGCGCAGTTGGACCGCCCTCTTCACGAAGAAAACAAGGGGGCGGTGCTCCCTAGCTCCCGATCTCCCTGAAACGCCTACTTATCCATGTTGTATCCTGGCACGGAAGCCAAGAAGCTGCCATTTTGCTCGAGGGCACAGCTAAGGGTGGCTGCCCAGCTGTGGCCATGTTAGTGCTGGGCAGTCCCATTTCTCTGCGGGGCGCGACAACGAGGTCGTGGAAAAGAAGAACCGATAAAGAAAAAGGTGAGAGACATTGTAAATCACAAGAAGCACTGTGAGAGTCAGTATAACGGGGTGAAATCGTCACTCTCCCTGGGATCGATGCAATCCCTGAATTCCTAAGTCACCATCGAGAGAAAACGGGTTGAGCCACCATGTTTAAGTTGGGCAAACCGAAGCAAAAAAATGTGGCCATATTGGATCTTTGCCAGCTTTGGTGCTGATGGGAGTGTGGAGGGAGAGGCCATATGCAATATGGGCAGTTGAAGCCAGTCTGGCCGCCATGTTTGTTACTGGACACTACTTTCCTTCATACCGTAGAAGAGACTGATTCTGGGTAAGGACTCAGGTATCGTGGTCTTGAGTGAACACGTGCGAAACCCATATTCTTGGGGCAAATCGAAATGGTGCCGGCTCGTTTGGGGGCAAGCTGACGCCTATCTGATCTTTCTTATGGGCACCCCGTTGTCGGCCTCTGCGCCCCACTGTGTTCCGGATGAAGTGCCTTAGTCGCGGGCGGCCGGGATGAGGGAGGTGGAGTATGCAGCGTGGAGGCGGGCCAACCACGCGGAAGTGACGCAGGCGCCGCCATGTCATTTGAGGGCCGCGACGGCGCCGGGCCGGCCATGCTGGCTACGGGCACGTGAGTGGAGGCGGCGTTGTGAACTGCGGTGTGGGGAGGATTTGGTCGTCCTGAGGCCGAGGGGCTCTGGGAGGGCGAGTGGCTCAAGGGAGTGGTGTGGCCTGTGTACATCAGAGGGCAGACGTCGTCCAGCGACCCTTCACTGAACGCTGGAAAGGGGTCGCCCGCGGGAACCGTCGTGTCTGATCCACGACAAGACCGAGACAGCCTTACCGTCCGGTTTGCAGACCCTCTAGAGTCCCTATCTTGGTCGTGGACCATGTTCACAGTGTCGAAGGTGGTGGTCTGGGGGCTGAGGCACCCCTCACCCGCCTGAAGGCGGGACTTCCGGTCGTGGCCCCCACCTGGGCGGGATTTCCTGTTTTCTTCCCAGCCTTGTGTGATTACTCCCTGGATCCCCAGTGAGGTGGAAAGGAGTCTTATTGATTGAACAAGGGTCCCGGACACACACCCCATCCCAGTCTCCAGGTTGCATCCTGAAGGTTCTCACTCTTTCGTGTGGGCGGGGCTTCCAATTTACCAGGTGGATGGAGGGGGCTTCACTAGTATCTTGTATCCCATGTGAGACTTTCCTAAGAGGCTCATCACCTGACCTTTCCTTTCTCCCGCCTGTGGTGGGTAGGCCTCCCCACTTTCTCTTCTCTCCTTGCTTTCCTATGGGGAGGTAGAATCTTCCCCATTCCCCCAGCTTCTTGCAAGATACAGATACTGAAGGGGAGGGTGGCTCCCCGGGTCTTGGCTACACCCCTGCTGGGAGACTGAATTCAGAGAGCCCCCTGGCTCTTGGCAGAGTTGTCTGTGTAAGTCCCTTTTCATCCTTTTTACCCATTGCGCCTTTTGAGGGGTAAGGGGGGAAATCTCAAGACCCCCTTCTCTCCCATTTCCTTCTTTTCATTTCTGTGCCCTGTGGCTATTCCAAGGTCTAATTCAGAGAGAATTTCATCCTGACACCCTCTTCCAGAACACCACTGGCCGCCTTCCTTACATGTCATTGGGACGCAACGGAGTGCGAGTCCCAGACCTGGCACTGCAAATCTGTGTGTCCTTGAACTAGTCTCTCCTCTGCTCTGGGCCTCAGTTTCCTTCCTCAGATGGAGATGACATGAGGCGTGTGTGATTGTGTGTGTGAGTGAGAGAGAGAGAGAGAGAGAGGCACGGGGCAACTTGGGTTCTGATGAACTTTGGGATCTAGCAGACAGTAGTTTCAACCCCAGTTACACCCTTTCCAGCTGTGTGATTTCTCACCTGTGTCTTAAGCTCTCTGAGCCCAGTTTCCCCATCTGGATAAAAGCAAAACCCACTGCTGTAGGGTCTATTCTAACTCATAGTGACCCTATAGAACCGTCCCTGGAGTTTCCTATGCTGTAACTCTTTGTAGGAGCAGACAACCTCATCTTTCTATCGTGGAGTGGCTCGTGGCTTGGGACCACAGACCTTGGGGTTAGCAGCTCAGTACTTAAACCTCTTTGTCACCAGGGCTCCTTTTCCATCTGAGGTATGCAGAATGGCACTGTTGGTTAAGAGTCAGAGTCCATGCCCCTGCCCTCCCTCTTTCCAGCTTTGTGACCCAGTGGTCAAGTGACTGAATTGCCTCGGGCCTCAGTTTGTTACTGGAAAGTGGCGAGCGGAGGGTTGGTTGAGGTTGGAATGAGAGAGTGTATGTGACAGATTCCATTCCTGCCCAGCTGATGGTTAGCACTGGACAGCCCTTTTACTGTGGTTCCTTCCATTGATGAGGGTGGTTGTATCCCTTGACTCCTGAGGTAACAACTCCTACTTTGGTAGGAGTGTGAGGTGACTGATGGGGAGTCACCTGCTCAGAGATGGGATTCAGGGAACAGTGACGTCTATGATTACTAGTCACAAAGTGCCTGTGAGTGATTCCAAACTCCAGACTCCCTGTTCCCATTCAGTGTGACCCTAGCAGGGTCTCTGCTGGAATCCCTCCAGTGCAGGGGGCCCACTACCTCCCCAAGAAGGCTCCTCACCTTCTCAATCACTCCGCTTCATGGGAGAAAAAAGGCAGAGAGAGGGAGAATGTGTGGTCCAAGGGCCCAGAGCAGGTTGGAGACAAGGGCAGGGCAGGAACACAGTCCCCTGTCCCATGCTCTCGTCACCTCCTAAGGAGACGATAGCCAGCAGATGGTCTACTTGAGGCAGGCCTGGCCCAGGGAGCTCACATTCCAACATAGGAGGCAGACAGGTACAGCTGCCACAGGCTCGGGTGACATGAACTGTAATGAAGGCAGCTCAGGGCATTGTGGGGGCCTGGGGAAGACATCTGATCCCTTTTGAGGGTCCAGGAAGATATCCCAGGGGAACTGCCAGAACAGGCTTGTAGGAAGTTCAGAAGCTTTGTAGGGGGTTTTATCAGTCACAGAGCGAGAGACGGTTCACCATTATCTGCATTCCTCCAGCCTGCACCCTGGAAGGGGCTCCAAGGTGAACGCTCAGGCCTGTCCTTGGGAGGCTCTCTGCTCTCCAGAGCAATGTATGCTCCCATGGGGGTTCCTCAGACCAGGTGGGAGCACAGAGGAGGGGCCTGTCTCCCCCAGGGATGCATACCCTGATACCCAGAGGGTGAATGGGAGATTTGAATGCAGCAAGAGTGACCCATGTGTAAGTGTGGGGCCTCAGAGGCTGGTAAGAGTGGAGTAGACCCTATGGACTATGACTGGGGGGAGGTAGGGCCAACACTACCCAGGGCCTCCACTGTCATGCTGCGTCACTCAGACCGTGTCATGGGGATGCTAGGTTAGCTCTGGGTGTAGACAGACCCCTTGGGGGCCAGGTTGGGGGCAGACTAGAGTCTGAGAGGTATGGTAGGACCCTGGGGTGAGGATTTAGGGCTCCTCTGTCTAGTAGGTCCCTAATAGCAGTCTCTGGCATTATATATATAATTTAATGAGCCCCAGTGGCACAGTGAGCTAAGCACTGGGCTGCTAACCACAACGTCAGGATTTCAAATTCACCAGCCACTCCTCAGGAAAGTTGAGGTAGCCTGCTCCCGTAAAGATTTATCGTCCCAGAAACCCATAAGGAACAGCTAGCTTTACTCTGTTCTAGGAGCAGCCGGTGAGCTTGAACTGCTGTCCTTGTGGTTCAGACTGACTTTGCAGTCTAGCATATTAACCCACAGCACCTCATCAGGTCTCTGGGATGTCCTGTTGATGAGTACCATCGAGTCGATTCCGACCCATAGCAACCCTATGTAGGGTTTACAAGGAGCAGCTGATGATCTTGACCCACTGACCTTTGCAGTTGAAACGACTTTGCAGTCTGACACATTAGCCCACAGTGCCACACCAGGACTCCCTGGGATGTCCTAGCATCTTCAGAATCCTGTGTGTATTTGATATGGAAGACAAATCTCCTTTTGACCAGCAACATTTCCAGTCCCTAGTAGCTGAGGACTCCCATCCATAGAGGACCAAGCTGGTCAAAAGCAAGAGGTGGGAGCTGGAGGGGAACAGATGAGACAGATGCAGAGATTCAAGCGCTGGATTAATGGGGTTGGGGGTAAGGACAGTGCCCTAAGGGTGGTAAATCCATCCTGAGATTAGGAAATTGCTGAGGAAACCAGGTTTGGGGGAAGGTGTTGAGCTCAGCTGGGCTGCAGTGTCTGGTTAGAGTTGGAAGGTAAAGATTGGAGCCCCCTCACCTGAGATTTGCTCTTCCCTGCAGGACGCGGATGGCGTCAGGGCGCCCGGAGGACCTGTGGGAGGCCGTGGTGGGGGCCGCTGAGCGTTTCCGAGCCCGGACCGGCACGGAGCTAGTGCTGCTGACAGCTGCTCCGCCCCCCCGTCCGGGACCCTGCACCTATGAGGCCCATGGCCGGGGAGCCTTGGCCGAGGCTGCCCGACGCTGCCTCCATGACATTGCCCTGGCCCACGGGGCGGCAGCAGCTGCCCGGCCCCTTGTGCCCCCACCAGTGCCACAGCCTTCCAGCCCTGCTCGGAGCCCACCCCGGCCTGCCCTTGCACGGGAGGAAGATGAAGGGGAGGAGGAGCCAACCGAGACAGAGACCTCAGGGGAGAGGCTGGGTGTCAGCGACAATGGAGGTAAGAGGGGGAGGGAGCCTCCGCAGGGCCCTGGGGTGGGCAAGCTTCCTCACCCCCCAGCAGCATTTCCTGGGGTAGAGGGGTCTTGTCACTCAGCCCAAAGATCTCAGGAAGCTGTCTTGCCGAGAGGTCCGAAGCCACACAGACCTGCCCCTAGCATACTGTGGGGCCTTGGACAAGTCATTTTCCTGATGGGAGCTGGCTGGGCTGGCACTGAGCATGCTCATGTGTTCTTGAGGGGCTCTTATTTAGCTGAGGAATTGCCGTCTACATGAGGTGGGGGGCTGGCAGCAGGGGTGTCTCCTGAGCATGAGCAGACTAGGAACCATTTTCATGCCTGGGACCCCAAATGCCTAGGAGGCTGAAGAGGAGGAAGGGATGCAACTCACAGCTGAGGAAGGGGAGGGGACAGCAAACTGTCTTGGTGGGAATTTGAAGGTAAGGAGTTTGCAGGTGAGTCAGTAAATTTAAAAAGTTGCCATCAAGTCAGTTTTGACTTACTGAGGCCCTGTAAGTACAGCAAAGGACTGCCCTGTGGGATTTTTAAGGCTGGGATCTTTACAGAAACAGATTACCAGCTATTTTCTCCCACAGAGTGGCTGGTGGGTTGTAACTACCAGCCTTTTGGTTAGCTGCCAAACAATTAACCATTATACCCCTGTGCCTCCTCTCCTCAATAAATGTTGTTAAGTGCCATCGCATTGGTTCTGACCCATAGTGACCCTGTATAGGATTTCCAAGGAGCAGCTGGTGAGCTTGAACTGCCAACCTTGGGGTTAAAACCAACTTTGCAGTCCAGTGCATTAACCCACAGAGCCACAGTTACTATTTTGTTATTATCATTATCTCACTTGGCTTTCTCACATTACTGGTGCAAACTCTCCTAGGGTCTGGGGCACAGACTCCAGAGCTAGCCTTGGTTCAAACCCCGGTGATGGCTACTTTTTAGCTGTGTTGTTGTTGTTAAGTGCCATCAAGTCGATTCCGACCCATCTTCAGAAAAGTGACTTAACCTCTCTGTGCTTCCAGGTTGCCATTTGTAAAACAGGGATCAGAGTTGTCCTTGTTTTCACCCACAAGTGTAACTGATCGATTATTACACTGGGTTTCTTTCTACCTAGGCCAGGCAGGTAACTAGGGGATGGGTGTTTTCAGCAGAGGGAACAGTAATTGCTGAAGCCCTGAGGTTTGAAAGGACCTGGCCAATGTAGGTAGGGAGCTAGGAGGCAGCAGTAATGGTTGGAGTTAGGGGGCACATGCCGCAGGGCCCTGACTGGCCCGCAACTCTCGTGCTGTGTGCAGGACTCTTTGTGATGGACGAGGATGCCACTCTCCAGGACCTGCCCCCCTTCTGTGAGTCAGACCCCGAGAGCACTGATGGTGAGTGTCCCAGGCTATTCTGAGTCCCCCCAGGTGCTGCTAGGACAAGGACAGAGTCTGAACTCCACCCTCTCTCCCAGATGGCAGCCTGAGCGAGGAGACCCCCGCTGGCCCCGCAGCCTACTCAGTGCCCCCAGCCGCAGCCTTGCCCACACAACAGTACGCCAAGTCCCTGCCCGTGTCTGTGCCAATCTGGACCTTCAAGGAGAAGAGGACAGAGGCGCGGTCATCAGATGAGGAGAACGGGCCGGTGAGGAATGAATGGGGGTAAAGTGGGGTGGCAGGTAAGAGGGGGTAGCTGGAAACGTTCAGAGCCACTGCCTCCACATAGCCCCTCTCGCATTGAGTTATTCACATTTCAGTCTTGGAAGATCCTTAAAATTCATTGGGCCTGGGTGGGTGAGCAGGAAACAGACCTGCAGACCTCTGGAACGCCATAGCTCTGACCTGAGAAACCTGTAACCTGAGACGGTGTCTGGATGCCTTCTACCAAAGGCCACCTCTCACCACCAGATCAACACCATTTCTAGAGCACCTGCCTCAGCCAGGATACCTGCCACACAGCATCTTGGCATTCCCTCTAGATGGGGAAATTGAGATTCAAGGGGTCAGGGAAAGGCACGTCCCCTACCCCTCACATTCCGGGTTCTTTTTGACTGGCCTATGTGGATCTTTGCTGATCATTATGCAAACTCCCTGAAGCTGAGGGGAAACTGAGACTGACCGGACATGTGACTTCCTCAAGGTCTCAGCTGTCAGGGGCCGATTTAGGATCGGAGCCCTTTAGGGAAGGAGCTGTAGGCTTGGAGGGAGGAGGACTGGGTCCCCAGTGACACCCCTCTGAGCCTCTGCGCCTCATGTACAGACCCCCAGGCTGATCCAAGGGCCCAGCGGCCCCAGAGAACAAGGGTTCTGTCTGGTCCCACTGCAGCTGAAGGTGCCGCTGGCCACTGACTGAAATGTAGTTCAGTGAGGGAGCCTTTCAGGTCCCTGAGTGCTGGGTCCAGGGGATGGGGTGCGGGGGGGCTGCCCCAGTCTGGCTCAATGTGACAAGGGAGGCGGTGCCGGGGCTATGGGCCGGCAGAAGGGCAGGACACCTCGAGCTGCCACCTGTGGGAGGGGGACATGGAGAGGGTTCCTCTCTGTACGGCTCCGGAGTGCTGATGAACAGAACTGAATTTGGGCGGGGGGGGGGCCCTCTCCACAGTCTTCCTCGCCGGACCTGGATCGCATCGCAGCAAGCATGCGTGCGCTGGTGCTGCGGGAGGCTGAGGACACCCAGGTCTTTGGAGATCTGCCACGACCGCGGCTTAACACCAGCGACTTTCAGAAGCTGAAGCGGAAATACTGAGGCCGGCTGAGGCACTGACCGCCCCGCCCCGCCTACACTACACCCCCGCCCCGCCCCCGAGGCCCGCCAATCCCTGGCACGTCCAGGACCAGGCCTCCTCCACGTTTCTCTTAGGCCCTGGCCAATCCCCACCTAGTGACAAGGGACGCCCTCCCAGCCCATGGTCCCCTCCTGGGCTCAAGAGCCGGGCCAGCCTCTTGATTGGGTGTGTTGCGCCTTTCTCCGCCCAGCGACAGATCCTTTACATTAGGGGATTGGCTCGCTCCATCCCCAGGGGCGTGACTAGTTAACTGGTCAGACTACCCTGTTTTCTGTGGAGCCAGCCACAGGTCTGTTCCCTCGGCACTGGCTGCATCCCAGAAAGAGCACAGTCATACCACAGGATTGGGCAGTGGCAATCCATTTTTGCCTAGTGACTGGGTTGCTCCTTGTTTTTGATTGGCTCGAGCCTATGAAGGGCTTGACCAATCACCTGAGTTAATTGTTGAGTCTCCCATTTGATTGGCCTCTGCTTCCTGGGGGCGTGACTAAACGCTCAAGTGCCCTGGATTTACTTGTGGCCTCAAATTTATTTTCTGTACACTACTGGGGATGGGTGCTCCTTTGCTCAAATCCTGACAATTTGTCTCTCTGGCTCTGCTCCTCAGGGATGGTCCAGTCTTGTTTCTGCGTTCTCACACTCTTACTGGTTACATCCCTGAACAGCCTGCCAATCGAATACGTCCTTGCATCCAGGACGTTACCAGCTCCCGCCCATCTCCCCCCACCTCCACAGGTGCCTTAAAGGGCCCTCGTCCACCCAAAGTGGGGGGCAGAGGGCCTCACTCTCCGGCCCTGCTGTGGGGGAGAGAATAGGGGTAAGGGTCGGAAGTCAAGAGGGGCACTCGGAGATTAAAGAGTTTTACCTCTGACAAATGACTATGAGGTGTTCACTCAACGTGTTCTGCATCTTTGATTTTTCACCGCAAAGCTGGGAGGTGGGGTGGTTGTCCCATTTGACAGATACGGAAGGAAATGGGGTTTCATGGATTGTTAGGTACCATCGCGTCGGCACCAACCCATATAGCAACCTTATGCACAGCAGAACGGAAAACTGCCTGATCCTGGGCCAGCCTCACTACTGTTGCCACACTTGAGTCCATCGATGCTGCCACTTGGCCAATCCATCTTGCCGGGCATCTTCCTCTTTTTCTCTGGCCTTCCACCCTACCAAACATGATATCCTCCAGTGACTGGTCCCTCCTGACAATATGTCCTAAGTATGAGAGACGAAGTTTGGCCATCCCGGCCTCCAAGGAGCACTCTGGCTGCATGTCTTTCAATATTCTCCTGCAACACCACAGCTCAAAGGCATCAATTCTTATATGGTCTTCCTTATTTACTGTCCAGCTTTCGCGTCTATATGAGGTTATAGAAAATACCATGGCTTGGGTCAGGTGCACCTTAGTCCTCAAGCTGACATCTTTGCTCTTCAACACTTTAAAAAGGTCTCGTGCAGCAGATTTGCCTGATGCAATATGTCGTTTGATTTCTTGACTGCTGCTTCCTTGAGTGTTGATAGTTGATCCAAGAAGAATGAAGTCCTTGACAACTTTAATCTTTTCTCCGTTGATAAGAATGTTGTTTATTGGTCCAGTGGTGAGGATTTTCATTTTCTTTACATTGAGATGTAATCTGTATTGAAGGCTGTGCTCTGTGATCTTCATAAGTCTATGTTTCAAGTCCTCTTCACTTTCAGCAAGCAAGGTTGTCATCTGCATATTGCAGGTTGTTAATGAGTCTTCCTCCAATACTGATGCCACGTTTTCATATAACCCATGGGTTAGGAAGGTAGAATTCCAGCCTTTGACCATGAAGCCCCAATTTCCAGTGTTGGGACCAGAGTGGTGTTACCTGAATGGGTTGTGCCCATTTCAATGAAAGACCCAGTGAAGACACAGAAAAGTCTAGTCACTTAAGCATTAAGCAGGAAACTGACAGTTTCAGTACTCCAAAAGCATTTGACTAAATACAAGATTTACATGTAAGCGCCGACTCATAGCAACCCTGTAAAGGGTTTCTGAGGAGCAGCTGGTGAGTTTGAACTGCCGACCTTGCAGTTGAACGTGACCTTGTGGTCGCGTGCTTTTATGTTTTGTGAATGCCAACAGTCAGGTCTACACAGTCCATTTTCAAGGACTGGGGTGTTTCTGTTTTATGAAAGCCTAAAAGAAAACCTTCTCAACCATCGCTGTGAATTTTGTCTAACCAGGAAGTCAGTCTTCAGCAGCTGCACACTTTGCCTTGAGAGAAAGAAGGCACCCACCAGCTACAGGAAAGTCCAGGTTTTTTCCTCAAAACTGAGTTCTCGGGGATGTCACATTTTAGAATCTGTTCCTGGGTCAGGGAACGTATAAAGCACAAATAAATAGTTTTGTTAGGCACTGAGTCACCCACTTCAAGGTGTAGCGCTGTAGGATAAAGCTCTGGACTGCTTGGTTGGCAGTTCAAACTCACCAGCCACTCCTGGAAAACCCTTTACAGGGGCGCTATGAATTGGAACTGGCTCAATGACACTTAACAAGTCTCCTTAGCTAGCTCACGTACTCAGTAAATGTCAGAGCGGCCTGCTGTAGATGGAAGTTTCCTGCCACATATAGAAGGCTATAAAGCAGGTGGAACCTGGTCCCAAGTTAGGACTCCATGTAACCCCCATCTGCCAACGAACACCGCCACTGGTGTGCTGCTAGACAGCACTTTAATATGGTTTACTATGACCCAGAGAATTGTAAGCCATGGCCATGTACTAAAGTCTATTAATCCCACTTAGTGCAGAGGATCACCCCCACTTTATAGATGACAAGATTGCAGCATAAAGGTTAAAAGCAAGAGAAGAATCTAAGACGAGGTACTGTCAATGGTAGTGGGTGTCTTCCTTCGACTGCCTTTAAGTGGCAAAGAACTTCCCTAGCTCCATTTCTAGCCAAAATAGGAGTAGAGTTCAAGACGGTAGGGAAAAATATCAATGAACAAGGGGCACACTCCCCCCTACTGGTCAGAGCTTCTCATTGCAGCAAGAGGAAAGAAAATTGGCTGTGTAGGGACCGGCTGAAGTCAGAGGCAGGGAGGGGCTACGGTGGGGGGAGGAGCCAAGGCCCCACACGGCTCCGTGAAGCAAGTCATTTCCGTCTGTTGCAGAACAGAACTCGGCGAGCCCAGTTGCAGGCGAAGCGCCTCGGGCAATAATTCTCTAGTCGGGAAGTGGAGCGCGAACCGGAGTGGCGGGATAGGTGAGAATGGGGTTGGGGGACACGCGCGAAGCTCTCTGCTCTTGACTTGGAAGTTTCGTCGCCCGGGAAACTGCGCAAGCTGTTGGCAGGCGAAGAGGTGGGATTTCCAAAATAGAGGGTTTGACTAGAGAAGGGTGGGACTTCCTGTAGCAACCTGCGAGTTCTAGGAAGTGTTTTGAAGAGGGACTTCCTGTGGGCCGGGTCGACCTTCTGGAGGAACCGAAAGAGGCGGACTTTCTCATGGGCCAGGTAAAATGGGCGGGGCTCAGACTTGCCTTTCAAACTCGGCCACTTTTTCCCTAGGCCCTGGCCCAGGATGGCCGAGTTGGAGGCCCAGGGGCGCCTATGGCTCGAAAGCCCCCCAGGGGGGGCGCCCCCCATCTTCTTCCCTTTGGGCAGGCAAGCACTCATCCTGGGTCGGGGGCCCCTGACCCGGGTCACCGACCGGAAGTGCTCACGAACCCAAGGTAGGCGGGGTCTGAGCCAGGATGGATGTAACCAGCGTCTGGGGGCGGGAACACAGGCCAAGGGAAACCATGCCCTCAGAGGGATGCTTCTTGGGTTGAATTGCGTGGTGGTAGAGCCAGCCCTAATTGGGAGTATTAACAAGAGCCGGGTTTTGCCTAACATGGGCTGGGGCCAATTCCAGGAGACTTATCAGGGGCAGAGAACATTCACAGTACACAAGGAGAGCTGATCAGCCTGTCTGTAGGCACGAACCAGAAGTCTCTTGTAATTCTAGGGTTATCTATCAAGGGAGCGATCCAGTTACCTGTAGAAATAAGCTCTTATCACTTACTACCGTTAAGGATGCTGGTAGTCCAATCCTGTGGCCTGAGCAGGTCATACACACACACCCCCAATAATCAGAGGACCAGGCACACACACAATGATGCACATTCTCTTTTTCTTAACTTAGTGGAGCTGGTGGCAGACCCTGAGACCCGGACAGTGGTCGTGAAACAGGTACTGAGATCCCCATAAGGGTTAGCAAGACCTGGGGTAGGGTAGGGACTCCTGAGAGAGGCATCTCCACCCAGCCTGGAAAAGAGCCTATTGGGAAAATCCGATTGGTTGAGAGAGGAGGCGTGACCAATAGGGGTTAACCCATGCATCAAATCCTGGTTGGTTGGACACAGTAAAGAGATGGGGCTTAAGGCTCTTGACTGACAGGCAGTTAGAAGCTGGTGCTTCCCCTGGGTTATCTGATTGGAAGAGGTTCCTGATTGGGGCGGGAGCCGGTCCACATTCTCCTCCTTCCTCTGCAGCTGGGAGTTAACCCCTCAACTGCGGGGACCCAGGAGCTGAACCCAGGATTAGAAGGCTCTCTGAGGGTGGGGGATACGCTGTATTTGGTCAATGGTCTCCACCCCCTGACCCTGCGCTGGGAAGAGGCACACACTTCTGGATCCCAGCCAGACACTCCGCCCTGCACCCCTCCGGTGGCCACAGATGGAGAGGAAGGTGTTGAGTCCCAGAAAAAGCGTGTGCGGAAGTCATCTCCTGGCTGGGAGGACCTTGAGAAGCTGCTGGTGTTCACGGCACCTGGGGTGAAGGCCCGGGGCAAGGTGAGGGCCAGGCTAATGGCTGGGGGGAACCTCCAAATACTGAGGCCTAGGTGCCTGGGCAAGTCACCAGATCTCTCCTAGCCTTCACTTCTTTTGTGAAATGGGCCTGGTGACAAAATTCAGAGATGGTTGTCAGCCTTGGAAAAAGAGATCCATCTGCTGCTGCCTAACTTAGCAATCAACAGACATTCATGGTTTCTAAAAGCTCTTGTGAGTACTGGTGTGGCACAGTCCAAGATAAGCACTGGACTGCTAACCGCCAAGTTGGCAGTTCAAACTCACCACCTGCTCAGCAGTTGAAAGATGAGGCTTTCTACTCCCACAAAGATTTAAAGCCTTGGAAACCATTTAACAGTGTTGCTATGAGTCAGAACCGACTTGACAGCACTAAATAACAGCCCTCTGAGGTAGAAGTCAGGGAAGGAGGATGGGGGAAATATTAACCGCCATTTTCAAGAGCGGAAGACTGAGGGGCAGAGGAATGAGAGCCAGGAGAGTTAGGACTTTGGGCTCTGCGCTCTGAGGAGCCTCACTGTGCATGAACCATTTATGTCTCAGTGCCTCAGTATTCCCACCTGTAGAATGGGGGTGGTAAGAGTGCCACCCTGCTAAGGCTGACTTAGCCCTGGGCATGAGGAGGATGAAGGGGTGATAGCTGCCTTCCTCTCTCCTGACCCCAGGTGGCCAGCTTTGACCTGGATGGGACCCTCATCACCACACGTTCTGGGAAGGTCTTTCCCACTGGCCCCAGTGATTGGAAGTGAGAAGAAGGGAGGGAGGGAGGGAAGGAGACCCTGTTCACCTGCAGGCCCCAGGTCACCCTTGGTTCCCTGCCTATCCTAGGATCTTGTACCCAGAGATCCCAAGGAAGCTCCGTGAGCTGGAAGCTGAGGGCTATAAGGTAGGTGCGTGCGTGCGTGCGTGCGTGCGTGCATGCAAACACCCTCTAACAGCCAGCCTCAGGTGAGGAGGGGGGCCCTGTGCACAGAACACCAAGTGACACCTGTCTGCTCCTCAGCTGGTTATCTTCACCAACCAGATGGGCATCGGGCGGGGGAAGCTGCCTGCAGAAGAGTTTAAGGGCAAAATTGAGGCTGTGATGGAGAAGCTGGGGGTGCCTTTCCAGGTATGGCTTTGGGGGTTCAGGGGTCTGGGGAAGGGGTAGAGAGAGGGCAGATGCCAGAAAAAAAGGGACAGGTCAGAGACCCTGATGGGTTAGGCCGACAGACACCCACCATAAACTGTGTAGCCTGAGCCTTGGCTGTTTTCCCAGATTGGGGGAGGGGTAGCAGCCAGTGAGTTCCAGGTGCTCTGAAGGATGTGGGTTACTCCTCCAGGAGCAGCAAAGGATGGAGTCTGAGCCCCCTGCTACCCACAGGTTTTGGTGGCCACGCATGCTGGCTTATACCGGAAGCCGGTGACTGGCATGTGGGACTATCTGCAGGAGCAGGTAAGCTGCTACCTCCCTGTACTCTTGTCCCTTTTGTCCATTCCTGTTCGGCCTCTCCTTCCTCCCTGTCTCATCTCCGGCCTCTGCTCTTCCATCTCAGCAGTCTTCACTCATTTCTTCAACCTCTGGCAGCTGTGTGGGGAACAGACTAGGCCCAAGAGTGAAAGCTGTGGTCTGAGGGGTGGGCTGCAGAAATATGCTTTAGAATTGTTGAGTGCCCACCAGTCAGTTCCGACTCATAGTGATCCTATATAGTTTTCTAGGAATGGCTGTTAGGTTTGAACTGCCCACCTTGCAGTTAGCAGTCCAGTGCTTATCCTACAGAGACTTTGCATTCCTTTAGGGGGAATAGAGGTGTTCAAAGGTTTCTTTATTGCCCACTGCCCATCCACCTCTCCCCAGGCCAACGAGGACGTGCCCATCTCCATTGGGGACAGCCACTACGTTGGAGGTGAGGGCCAGGGACTTGGGGATGGGCAACTGGAGCTAGGTGCCCATCACCTACTGTCTCTGAGTTGCTGGTGGAGACATGTGTGCCTTGTCTTATAGATGCAGCTGGGCGACCTGCTAACTGGGCTCCTGGGCGGAAGAAGAAAGACTTCTCTTGTGCAGACCGCCTGGTAAGGGCCCCCTACGTCATCCCCCCCCACCCCCCGAGCCCCCTCCTCCTCACACTTCTTACTCCCACCATTGTCCCCAGTTTGCCCTCAACCTCGGCCTGCCCTTCTCCACACCGGAGGAGTTCTTTCTCAAGTGGCCCACAGCCAGCTTCGAACTCCCAGCCTTTGACCCGGTGAGGCCCGCAGCTGGGTAGGTGGGGAGACTCGAGGGGGTGGTGGGATGGGATCGGATCTCATTAGTTATGTCCCACCCCTCCAGAGAAACGTCATCTCCTCAGGACCTCTATGCCTCCCCGAGTCCAGTTCTCTTCTGAGCACTGACCCTGAGGTGGTGGTCACCGTGGGATTTCCTGGGGGTGAGATGCCCACCTGACCTGACATCTGGGTACCCCCAGCCCTCCTCTGGGTCCTACAGCACTCGCTAATAGTGTGTCCTCACTTCACAGCTGGGAAGTCTACCTTTGTCAAAGAGCACCTGGTTTCAGCCGGATATGTTCACGTCAACAGGGTACAACCCTTGTCTACCCCCCCTCCGCCCCACAGCCATAATCTCAGGACCTCAGCTTCCGGTCTCTAGCCACGGCCCCTCTCCCTGCCATCTCGGCTCTTCTCTGGGTCCTTGTCTCCTTTCTGGGCCTCCCTTACACTCTGACCCTGTCCATAACTTCCTCTCCTGTGTCCCCTAGGACACATTGGGCTCATGGCAACGCTGTGTGACCATGTGTGAGACATCCCTAAAGCAGAAGAAACGAGTTGTAATTGACAACACAAACCCAGATGTCCTGAGTCGGGCCAGGTACTGGGGTCCCGTGGGAGGCTTCCCAGAGGGCAGCCTGGTGGAACCCATAGCATACCAGCATTGTCCTGATGCCCAAACAGGTACATCAAGTGTGCCCAAGATGCAGGTGTTCCCTGCCGCTGCTTCCTCTTCCCTGCCACCCTGGAGCAGGCGCGTCACAACAACCGGGTGAGACGCCCCACCGGGGGCCCAGCCCATTCCTCACCCCATCCCACCCCTGCGCCCCCTCCCCACTGCCCCCAGCTCCAACCTCCTCTTTCCCCCATAGTTCCGTGAGATGACGGGATCCCAGCACGCCCCAGTGACTGACGTGGTCATGTATGGCTACAGGTACCCTAGACCCTGACAGAGGGCCGGGTGGGTGCAGGTCGCCCTCACAGCCTCACAGCCCTTTCCGCTGCAGGAAGCAGTTTGAGGCACCCACGCAGGCTGAGGGCTTCACACAAGTGCTGGAGATCCCCTTCCGGCTTCAACTGGCGCCGCGGCTGGAGCGGCTGTACAGGCAGTTCTCTGAGGGCTGAGCCCCCCAACCCCCACAATAAATGCTCTTTTTTAGCAAGCCTGGTCAGCACTGCTTCTTGGTGGGCGGGGGGGTGCCATCCAGGAAGAAGACTGGCAGAGACTTAAGTGACTGCCCTGGGTCCGGGAGTTGGGGGGTTGAGTCAGCCACCAACAGTAGCAGATGTGAAACAAAGTTTCACATCACCTCAGCCACCTCCCTTAGGGCACCATGAGCGCTGAACCCAGCCAGGCTTGTTGCGGGTTCCCCACAAGTCTCTGTAGTGTAATTGCCACAGCACATCTCCTGAAGGGCTCCAAGGGGCATCCTACCCTGAGAACCCTGCCAGAGACTAGTTAGAAATGCCTAATATCCACACGTCCTGGGTCCTGAGTCAGACCTTGGCCAGAGGGGGGGATGTTGTGAATGATGTGGTTGGTGGGTTTTTAAAATGCTTTATTGGGAAAACATACAGGAAGGGAGACCGCTGTTGGAGGTGCTTCAGGGCACCCACAATCCTCCATCACACTGGACAACTGCACTCCCCAGGGTCCCTGCTCAGAGGCCTCTGATCTGAGAGGAAGGGGCAGTGGGAGGGTCTGGGTAGGAGTTCCCAGAGTCCCAGGTTTGCACCATCCTCTGTGTCCCCACACCCTCACCCGCTGCCTAGGTGCCAGCCTCTCCCTCGGTGACCAAGGTCATCCTGCTATTCCCCAAACCCTTCTCAGCCAAGATTGCACCCGGGGAGGTAGGGGGGCACTCACCAGTCTGCAAGGGACCTCATTCACAGTTCCTGGAGGCCTGGCCCAGAGGGCCACTACCCCCCCATCTGTAGGGAGGAAGGGGGTCAGGTCAGCAGATGCCGAGGATGTGGAGGAGGGGGGAAGCAGAGGCTAGGCCTACCCTCACCCCTCGCTGCTGCTGCTCCTGCTCCAAGTTCCTCTGCAGGACCAGGTGCTGGTTGGCGAGGACACGGCGGATGCCGTTGACAAAGCCGCTCTGGTCATGGGGGATGAGGCCAATAAAGATCTTCTTCTCCGACGAGTACAGGAGCATTAGCACACGCACCTCGCATGAGGCCTTGTAGGAGAAGTGCACGCAGCCGGCCTGGTGGATGCAGAGGGGTGTCTTTCAGCCATTCCAGCAGGACAGCAATGTCATCACCCCCATTTCACAGATGGGGAGACAGAGGCCTAAGACGACTGTTGCCTGAGGTCAACAGTGGGTGAGGACCAATGGGAGCACGTGGGTCCCAGGAAGCCTGCACTGTGATGAGGCCCCACGGAGACGCCAGCCCCGGCCCGAGAAACAGCGCCTGGCGCTCAGCAGGTCACACCAGCCCCAACAACATCTTTAGTCAAAGGACCCAAGACCTGGAAGTGAATGGGTCACCAGGCTGCAATGTCACAGAGGGCTGAGTCTCTAGGAGAAAGTTTAGGGAGCCTGCACCTACTGTACCCACAGGGAGTCTGGGCACCACGCTGGGTAGAAGCATGGAAGCCTTCCCAGGTCTCCCAGAGGGAACACTGGGTTCTCAGACTCTGGAAACTACTACACAGGCAAACCTCAAGTAGGCCATCTCACAAATGTGACGAGAAGGGCAGGCTCTGAGGATTTGGGATTGACCTCCTGGCCTGGTATGGGGACTTCGTGAACAACATAGATGTTTGAGCCTCACGGAGTGAGGACCCACCCCACTGTGTTCCTCAGGACATGGACCACTCAGAACATTGTGAGCAAGCCCTAGGTGGTAGTGGATGGCAGGCCCGGGGACCAGCTCAACACCTACTGGCTGCAGCAGCTAAGCCTCTTTCCCATCTGAGAGGAGTGGAGTTGTGGTGACCCTCCTTAGCCCTGCAGGTCTGGAGCCACACGGGACCCCATCCCTGGGGAACTGTCCACCCAGTGACACTCACTTTGCTTCCCCCACACCCCCTCAGCCCATCACCCTGTAAGTGGCTTTGCTTTCTGGATTTTTACACCTGTCTCCCAGGTGACCCAGCCGGCTCCACCACCAACTCACAAAGCCATTGTCCATGATCCGGCAGAGGCTCTTCAGTGTCTCCAGGTCCTTAGTGAAATGGAACTGTACCAGGCGGGAGTTTCGGAACAGAGGCACCAGGGTGGTCTGCGGGGAAGGCCAGGGGTACGCTCCATATGAGTCAGGGACCTGGGCCCCTGGGTCTCTGCTGTCCCCATGCTAGTGCCCATAGGGTAACCTGGAGCCATCACCTCCAGCTCTGGGGACTCCCCGCCCTGTCCTGCATGCTAATCACCTCGACAATGTGCTCAGAACCAAACACTGTCCCCATCTCAGACAATACCACCTCCACAAACACTGGACACCAGGAGTCCAGCCCCAGGTCAGAAAGCACCCACATCCCTGGGCGGCACCACTTACTAAACAAACAAATGTACTTGCCCCATACTTCCACCCAAGGCCCAGGCCACCTCCCTGGCCCCTAACACTCAACCTTTACAATCTCACTCCAGCCCCGAACTTCCCACTGCTCCAAGAAACCTTAGGGTTGCAGCCTGGCATATGGGACCCCTCCCTCTTTCCCTACTGGCTGTGGTCTCCAGATGCCCCATGGCACCTAGAACACCCCCTCTCCTGACTCCCCACTACTGCCTGGAACGCACTACCTGGCACCTGCTCCCTACTAACTGAAGTGCCCTTCCTTGCGCCCCACATTCCCACTTACCAGCAGCTGCTGCGGGATGAGTTGCATGAACAGCCTCCGAGGCCATTGCTCAGTCCTCCTGCAAGGTACAAGGGGACCGGGTCAGTGAGGGTCTGCCCCCTCGAGGCCCCACCCTCGGCCAAGCACTCACAGGATCTCGCCCTGGTTCACGTAGACATGCGACGGCAGCCACCTCTTGGAGCAAGTGTTGGGCTCAGGTCTGGGCTTAGGGGAGAGGAAGAGGGAACGTCAGGTGGGGCCGCACGTGCCCCTCTGTCCCTTGGAGCCCAGGACCACCCCACGGCTCACCTCCTCCCACTCCATGATGCCGGTCCACGCCAGGAATTTGTTGTTGACCATCTGGACCGGGCCTGCATTGACACCCCCTGGACCCACTGCCTGTGGAAGGAGGGGACTGGTGAGCTAACCCCCCAAGCTGGGACACTTCCAAGAGTGGTCTCAGCACTCGCAGTGGGGGAGCTGGGGCACCCACTCTATTCCTGCTCCAGGCCCCTCAGGAGACACCACGCCCTCCAGTGTCCCTGGCCCCCTTCAAAGTCTCCTCTGGAGCCACTTGGTTCCCCCATGGTGCCACGTCCACGGATCCTGTCCTGTGGTCCAGCACATTCACCAGCCTAGGCACTCTCCCTCGCACCTGCTTGCGGTTGGTGATGACCTGCCGGATTGCATTGACGAAGCCGCTCTGGTCGTAGGGGATGAGGCCCATGAAGATCTTCTTCTTGGACGAGTACAGGAGCATCAGCACGCGCACCTCGCACGGGGCGATGTGGGGGAACAGCATGCAGCCCGCCTGTGGATGGCGCAAGGTCAGGCCCATGGTTCCGTGACACCCCTCCCCGTCAAGCCGTGACCCCTTGACCACCTCATCTGGGGGAAAGGTGGGAGGAGGCTGGCATCAACAACTGTATTCCTGAAATTCAGCTTCCCACAGGCGGGGATGAGGCCTGAGACTCAGAAGGCTGAGCAGGTGCCACGGGGTCCTGACTTCTGCATCCAGACTCTACCTGCCTCCTCTGGCTTCCACTGACCAGCCCCAAATGTCCAGACAAGGAAACAGAAGTCCTGCCTACACACACAATCATCCATGTGACTCACCCTTCCACCTCCGCCCCCACCCAGGTCCCCAGCCATGTGCTCTGTCCAAGTCAGGCCTTTGGGCTCCTTGGACAGCGGGGCTCCTCTGCACCGCCCCCAGTGGCAGTGCTGCCCATGCCCACGAACTCACGAAGCCGTTGCCCATGACGCGGCACAGACCCTTGAGGGAGTTGCAGTCTCGGTTGGTGAAGTGAAACTGTGCCAGCTGGGAGTTGCGGAAGAGCGGGCCGAGGGTGGTCTGGGGGTGACAGGGGAAGGCAGTGAGTGCTAGTAGAGGGTCTGCGGGGGGCCACGGGCTCTCAAAGCAGGGGGGGGGGCTCACCAGCAACTGCTGCGGAATCAGCTGCATGATCAGCTTCTGGGGCCACTGGTCGGTCCCCCTGTAGGGAGGAGGGGGTCAGGTCACCTGCATGGGCCGGTCCACTCTCCCCTGTGCCCGCCCTGCCCACCCCTTGTACTCACAGGTTCTCGCCTGGGTTCACATAAGCCTGGCAGGGCAGCACTCGCTTCAGCTTCACGCTTGAGTCTGAGTAGGGTCTGCGCTTCTGCGGGTGGGGGGGGCATCAATGGACGCCTGCCCCACCCTCACCCCAGGAGTCCCCAGCCATGGTCACCACACTCACCTCTTGCCACTCCAGGATGCCACTCCAGGCCAGCAACTTGTTGCTGAGCCTGTGTCCACTCACCACCAGGCCACCAAGCGAGAGTCCGGGGGAGGAAGGCCCGATGGGTCCCAGAGCGCCAAAAATCCGAGCACCTTTCTGCAGGGGCAAGGGGGTTGGGGGAGGCTGAGGACCCCTCATAGAGCCCAGACGAAATCACAGCAGCCCAGCCCCCAGCCCTTTCCTGACCTCCCCCCCTACATACACACCCCCTGCAGCCTCATCTCAGCCTTCAGGTGTCACCTCTGGAGCTGGATGGAGCCATGCTCCCTCCTCTGTAACCCAGCCCACTCAGATGCCAGCTGTCCGGTGGAGGGCTCCCATGCTGTAGACCAGGGCCAGGTTACTTCCAGGCCTCCAATGCACAAGCCACTGGAGTTGGGTCCATCTGTCCCCAACACGGGCCGCTCACCAGCCCTGCTGGTCAGAAGCCTAAACATCCCCTCCACAACACCTACCACACCAGGTTGTTCCCAGGTAGGTGGGGAGCTGTTGAGAGAAACACGTGAAAAGGACCACTAGTGGTACAATGGTTAAGTCCTCTGTTGTGAAACAAAAGGTCAGGCAATTTGACCCTCCATCTGCTCCACAAAGATCACAGCCAGGAAAACCCTACAGAGCACTTCCAGTGTCCCTGCAATCAACTGGCTAACTTTAAAAAGAAAGCAAACCCATGAAACAGAACCACAGGGGCGGCCAACGGGGAGCCAGGTGACATCTGCAAATACAGGTATTATAGCACTGGGAGGGGCCTGGCCCTCATGTGACCAGAGCACTTGCCAAACACAGGTTCCCACAGTGAAGCCATGGAAAGCAACGCATCCGATGCACTTGACACATGGGGGAACTCTGCCAAACCCCTGTTTTTCTCAAACCCAAACAAGTCACTGCACAAGGCAAGACTCCTGAAACAGCCTGGCAGCTCAAAACTCAGAGACAGTAGCAGTAGGTGGTTCCAGGTACGCCCCTACACCACTCAAAAAGGGAACATGGAAGGTGTCACTGTTGGAAAGCTTCCAAATTTCCCAGGAGACGCAGACACCTTCTGTTTGGGGATAATTATGCACTGGATTATTTACCAAAAGGTCTGTAGCTCAAACCCACCAGCCACTCCTCAGAAGCCCTATGCTTTTGTGTCATCAAGTCAGTTCTGACTCAGCGTGACTCTGTATAAAGCTTTCTGAGGAGCGGCTGGTGGGTTTGAAGCGCTAGCACAGTAAGCTGCAGCGCCACACAGTATTCCCCAGAAACCCTCCCTATACAGGGTCGCTGTGGGTCAGAACTGACTCAAAGGCACTTAACATGAAGCATCAAAAGTCTGATTTTGTGAGGGCTTGAAAAATGGAACAAACCAAACAAGCTTGGCAGATGACCCTGGAGTTTGGACAAATGGACAAGAGCCAGAAGAAAACGAGAGACCATCTCAGTGAAAGAGCAAGTGTGTATGTAATGCTGAATGAGCTGGAGAACCAGTCACCATGAGCCTCAGAGTAGAACCATGTCCCTCCCACAGGGGTTTTGATGGTTGTTTCCGTAGATCGTCAGACCCCTCTTCCGAGGCACCTCTCTGCGTGGACCCGTACCTCCAACCTTTCAGTTGGCAGCTGAGCACACAAACTGCTTGGACCACCCAGGAACTCCCTAGAGATAAAGTAGGTGGCTTATCTCCCTGGGCTTGCAGGGACCACACCTGAGAAAACGCATTTACAGAGCACATCTGGAGCAGTCTCTGGAGATGAAGATGTACAGGAGACTTCTAGGACCGTGGCTAAACAGAAAGTTGGGACCCCTAACATCTGCTCTGTATTCTTGAAGAGAAAGGTATATGTGCACATCTGGCGCATGCTGCATATTAACTGCACGCAGGAGGCACATTTAGGATGGGAGGGAACACAGCTAGAGGCCAAGTTTAAGTTCAGGAGCAAGTGGTGAAGCTCTGGTTGTCCAGGAGGGCAGTTCACCGTGTAGGACTTGGAGGAGGGTAACTTGGAAGTCTGGCATATAAAGGCCCAGGACACAACCATCAAGGTGGGAAAACTACTGTTAAGGACTGGACTTTTTGAGTGCAGGCCAAAGGAAAATCTCACATCTGTGCCAGCATGTATAAAACATGGCCATGTGTCCAATTTACAGCCCCCCAGAAATGGCAGCCAAGTAATCAAAGGATGTATTGCATTGGGCAAAAGACCTCAAATGTGTCAAAAAGCAAAGAGATCACTCTGAGGACTAAAATGCACCTGTCCCAAGTTATGGTATTTCCAGTGCCTCATATACTCGTGAAAAGCTGGACAGCGTACAAAAAACCAAGACTGGATGCCTTTAAGTGGTGGTGGTGGTGGTGGTAAATATTAAATATACCATGGACTGCAGAATGAACAAATGTCTTGGAGGACATACAGCCAGAATGCTTTTTAGAAACCGGAATGGAGAGACTTTGTCTCATGTACTTCAAACATGTCATCAGGAGGGACCAGTCCCTGGAGAAGGACATCATGCTTGGTAAAGTAGAGGGTCAACAGAAAAGAAGAAACCTCTCAACAAGATGAAGTGACACTGGTTTCTACAGTGGGCTGAAACACAGCACCAATTGATGATGTGGGGCAGGACCAGACAATACTTTGTTCTGTAGTACAGGTGTTTCGTTTTTTACTTTTCATTGTGAATTGGGTAAAGGTTTCCTGAGATCAGTTTTTCCCTTCAACATTCATATATATTTTGTTTCATGTCATTGATTGTTATCCCCACAAGGTAACACCACTTATCCCACTTTCTTTTTATCCCTCCCTCTTTCCTAACCCTAGTAAACTCTGACCCTGGAAAAATACTGCCTTTTTTATCTCAAATAGTTGATTATTCTAAGGTGTGCATACCTCCCCATTGTTACTGTTCCCTTTATGTTGTTAAGTGTATCATGTATAATCGCTAAGTGCCATTGAGTCGCTTCCAACTCATAGCAACCCTGTAGAGGGTTTCCAAAGAAGCCTGAACCATCGACCCTGCAGTGCAAACCAACCTTGCAACCCAGTGCTTTAATCCGCAGCACCACACTACATCCCCCTTATAGAAGTGTTTATTGCTTGGCTGAAATTTGCTCACAGGGTGAATTTTTTTTTTTTTTTTAATGTTTTATTGTGAATTATATGATAGTTTACATGGGAGAACTTTAGTTTTACATTCATTCCATATTATA